AGCGTCGAGGGATGCTCCGCCCCTAGCACCCTCGTCGAAGTCTCCATCACTTGCACCTCCAGCTCTTCCGCCTCCTTCCATCGACCTTGATCCCAAAACGTCGACGCTAGGTTAGCCATGCTGGTCAGCGTCGAGGGATGCTCCGCCCCTAGCACCCTCGAACATATGTCTAACTCTTTAGCCTGTAGTTCTTCCGCCTCCTTCCATCGACCTTGATTCCAAAACGTTGACGCTAGGTTAGCCATGCTGGTCAGCGTCGAGGGATGCTCCGCCCCCAGCACCCTCGTCGAAGTCTCCATCACTTGCACCTCCAGCTCTTCCGCCTCCTTCCATCGACCTTGATTCCGGTACGTCGACGCCAGGTTGGCAATGCTGGTCAGCGTCGAGGGATGCTCCGCTCCAACGACGTCCCTCTGTCTCTGAAAAGCCTGCTGAAAGTGCTTCTCTGCCGCACGGTGATCACCCTTCCAGTTCAATGCCTCGCCAAGGTTGTTGTAGGCCCGTAATGTCTCCTCATCGGACATTCCCAACTTGCTCTCCCTCCAGTGCACCACTGCCATTTGTGCCTCCACAGCTTCACCGTACTTCCCATCGGCAAAGAGACACAGACCCATCTTTTCGAGAAGCCGGGACCGCTCAGGAAGATCTTCAATCACGTCATCTTCACAAAGTCTCTGAGCGTGCGGTAAATAAACCGTCCAAACATCTTTGGACTGATGGTCTCCGGAAGGGAATAGCTGGGCGAGTCGTGCAATACTGGCCCTCTTCCAATCACCAAGCGTACCTTCCTTCCTGAGCCAATTTCGTGCAGCAAGATGAACCAGTCGATGCATGTCATACAATGCCTCATGGTTTGTCCCACCTTCGTTCCCCATCTGCTCCGTCACAAAGGAGTATCCCTTCAGCGTGGCAAGGGCATCCACAGCATCCTTCTTGGATCCGACTTCCGGCAGCAGAGACTTTGGAATACTTTTTTCACGAAGGCAAGCCATCGAGCTGAGAAACTGCGCAGCTAATGGATGATATTGGCGAATTTGATTGAACGAGACAAGCCAGGTGGTGGCGACCGGATTATGGGCACTGGAATATCGAGATCGGTCGCCAAAATCCTCACTCAATAACCTGATCACTTCATCTTCAGGTTCATCCATGAGTTCCAGGTAAGTCTTCAAAGGCTCTTGAGTCATGTTCATATAAGAGGCAGCCTGGATTATGGCCAGCGGGAGATAGGTCAACCTGTCAAGCAAGATGGACGTTACGTTCTTGTCCGCAGCCATCTCAGGCTTCTCCAAGGCGTTCGTGAACATTGTTCTGGCTTCATCCAGTGACATCTCCAGCAATTCGGTCACCTCTCTTCCAGCGAGATGGCTAGCTACACGGCGTGATCGGGTGGTGATGATGATGGCGCCATTACTTGAGCTTGGCAACCACTCCACGAGTGTGGACTTCCCATCGGTGGGATCCAATCTCTTTACCCAGATCGCCTCATCATCAACGTTATCGAGGATCAAGAGCCATCGGCCCTCTGAAGAATGGGTGAGCCGTTCCTTAACTAGCGTTTTGACGTCTGCTTTGTCGTCTTCAATCCCCGGAATTCCAAGCTGCTTCCCGATCTCGAGCATATCCCTTTCAAATGTTAATCTATCTGTGGCTTCGATCCAGAAGTGTGAGTACTGTGGGTGTTCCGACCGGATTTGGTAGACTAGCTCTAACGCCAAGCGACTTTTGCCTACACCTCCTAAACCGAGTATAGATACGATTTGGCTGCGACCGAATTCCTCAACCTTTTGTTTGAGATGTTGAAGCTGATATGTGCGGCCAACAAATTCTGATGTTTGGCTAAAAGGGATATGCCAGACCGGGCGAGCATCTCGGGCTCTGGGTACCTTGTTCGAGTCGACCTTACTCCCTGAGAGCTTATCGATCTCGCTTTGGAGCCGAATGAATGCGTTCTCCCCTTCACCGTACATTGGAGGCATGAACACGTTAAAAATCCCCAGGAGGCAGTACGCCTTGTCTTCCTTTCTTTTGGTGTTCCGTTTTGCTGTCCATCGCATCCGCTCCTCCACGCTGAACGTAAGCAAAGGGACGCCGCGGAGTGCCGTGAGGGGAATCTCGGTCGTCTTGTGGATCAACCGCTGCAGTGTATGCTTATCACCAAGCCATGCTCCTCCTCGGGCAAAGAACTCCACTGACTTAGGAGCAAGGAGTTCTTGAAGTGTCCAGCCCCGTGTGAACCACCGGCTCTTCCGAAACTCTGCTTCCCATATCTGCTCGGGCTGGCGGTTCTTGTCAACGACCCCTACCGAAACATCCGAGAGGTATACATAACACTTTTCGGCATCACGATACCAGGCATACATCGAGATGATAGCCTCTGCGAGTTCGGCATGGTTAGCTTTGTCGATGCAGCATGTGTCCACCCAGAAGTATTCTAGTTTGTCTTTCCGAGCTTGCTCTCCACAGAACCGAATCTTTTCGTACCCAGCCTTCCTCTTGCCAGATCCATCTTTCAGATCGTTGAAGGTCACTTCTTCATCATCTGCTCCCCACGTATGGGAGAGGATCGCGTAGTGTGGAATGTCATCGATCAAGTCTTTGGTCAGGCTCAGCTGACCATCACCGTCGAATTTCAAAAGTCGCATCGCGTGAAACTCAGGTATCAGGATACGTCGAAAGGCATCTGGTGTGCAGAGAGGAGCATCATCGAGCGCATTGCTGATGAATCCTTATTGCTTGTTGAGACGTGTATCCTGCCACGTAGAGTATATGAGGTTCAGGAGGCTGTCGCGCGTATGGCGAAGTTCGATCAGGAGAGGGTCCCCGGCCGAGTGGTTGCCTGCTAGTTGGGTGGAAAGAGGACACTCGTGAGTCTGCCGCCGAGACACAGTAGGTAGTTCAAGCCATGGCCACAGGAACCCAATTGCATATGGGGAGAACACGTTGAAGAGTGTTCGATCAGGCTGAAGAGCTGCTTGGAGTAAATTTGCAGGCAGGCATCCGCTTCACTGAACGGGCGTTCCGATGGAACACGTGATTAAATTGTCGAGCAGAATGTGTGATTGAAGGGCCAGCGGAGGGAATTCTAGGCCTACCTCTGCCGTTGGCATTGCCACGTGAAGTACGCCATAACCCTCCACGCTCTCCCACACGGGCCACGCGGATCGTGGGGTTGTGTTGACTTCGCCGGCGATCCTTCGTAAAGCGGGGTTCAACCCGACGCAACGGGGCCCGTTAGCCGGATTGATCCGCGCCAGAGGTGCTCGAGCTTCCAGCCATGATTTTGGTAGGAAGATCGTGTGCCAGCCTCTTTGCAACATATTGACAGACCGAGCTCAAATCGCAGCAGAGAGACGTGGGTCCTGCCTGTTTGTGCGGCTCACGTGGGCTGCGAGCGAAAGTACTTGCCTCTCAGCGAGCGCTACGATATCCCGATATCGAACTGCCCGAGCGTCATCTCTGCGCAGCCTCGCTTTGCGTCTTGTCCTCGAGCTATCCTCTGCTTTGCGAAGGCGATCTTTGAAAGGTCTGATGAACCAGACAAGCTCGAGCAGAAGCGCTGCAACGAACGATGAAGCTGTTCATGGACACCCAGATGCTCGGGTACTCTCACCGGCCGATACGGGATTTGATCAGAAAGATCTTGAATATTCGGCACCTATCCCAGAAACCCCTCCTCACGCATGTCGTTGATAGATCTTGTGAGATTCATTGTGGAAGATAGAAGAGAAGGCTACAACGGAGGCAATGTTGATTGATTACGTGCTAGCAGTACAGTATGGCTGCGGTACTTTCTCCGATCCTAGGACTGCTGCACATTCCTCTCGTCGACATTCCTATATGAAGAATGACACTGGGTAGATAATTCTGTACAAAATCTGTCCGCATGGTGTTGCACTGCCCAAAACCAATGTGGGATAAATGCTCGCTGGTGGCTAGGTGCGGGTATGATCGCCTGCGGAATGTTCGAGATAATCCGCAGGACTCGCAACTTCCTCACAGTCAGAGCACGACTAACCTACTGCCCTGCACGCCAACCACAGATGGCGCCAAAACTCCCAGCCTCAACACACGCACGCATTCGGTGCATGATTGAGAATGGTAGCTTCACAAATCGTCAGATTGCGACGATGAAGGGGGTGAAGTGCAGCATCAACGCCGTCAAAGCCATCAAGCGAAACCTTCGTGATTTCGGCAGCACCACGAGACCTGGCCGTGGCGGGCGACCGACCCTCACCGATCACCCCCTCAATGCGCGATGCTCTTTTTGCCCATCTCGATGAACATCCTGAGTTATACCTTGAAGAGATGGTAGAATGGCTGTGGGACGAATTTGGAGTGGCTGTCACTAAATCCACTGTTAGTAGGACATTGCACTCTGCAGGGCGGTCGAAGAAGAAGTTTCGTCGTAAGGCCGCCGAGCAGAATCCCGACCTAGTCGACTACTACCTCCACAGTATTTCCTCCTTCCACTCCTACCAGTTTGTGTACGTGGACGAATCTGGGTGCGACATAAGAGATGGGCTTAGGAGCAATGGGTGGTCTCCACGAGGTGTGACCCCTATTCAAACTAGAAAGTTCCCCCGAGGATAGCGGTATCAAATTTTGCCGGCGTACTCCCAGGATAGCATTCTCCTTTTACGGGTGTACCGAGGCACTACCGACACCGCTGTGTTTAAGGACTTTATCGAACAGCTCCTTCACCACTGTGGAAGATTCCCCGAGCCGAAGTCAATCCTAGTTATGGACAATGCGTCATATCATCGTAGTGAGCGGATCACGCAAATGTGCGATGCGGCAGGAGTGAAGCTGTTTTATTTGCCTCCATACTCACCCCGGCTGAATCCCATTGAAGAGTTTTTTGCCGAATTAAAGGCGTCCATCAAGAAAAACTGGAAGGTGTACGAACAGAACCCTGGACCGGGCTTTAGGGTATTTCTCGAATGGTGTGTCGACGTGGTGGGAAGAAGGGAAGAGAGTGCCAAAGGCCATTTTAGGTACGCAGGATGGACCATTGAAGAGCCAGGAACATCTCTATAGATTCAGCACCGATATTCTAGAATGTAGGTCATTCGCCAGTACCCCATTGAATCATTGGTGTTATACAGCCTAGATATCATGCATGCCACCAATCGAATCTGACCAGTCAACTTCCGTCGTCGCCTCCGTCCAGTCTCATACGTTTGTTGCCGTAATAAAAGTTTTCAATATCCTTACGGCGACAGAAATACCAAGCAACGCCCCCCGGCACACCTTTATGAATAAAGACACTAGGATTTGGTTCTTCGTAGATGGATTCCAAAAAAAGACCCTCCTTCAACGCTACATCGTAAGCTTTTTCGAAGCCAGCTTTAACCAAAGGATCCCGGACCCTCGATTGCTGCCAGGTGGCGTATTCTCGTAACGCATCATCGCGAAGCCCAGGAAATTCCAGTTGCTGGAGTCCTGCTGCGTCTGAATGATACCTAGACGTCAACTGACCGTTCTCACCTTCGACATGTGACATGTGCTGAGGCTGGCTAGGCAATACGTTAGTGATGTTGATGGGCGCCATACGAGAACTAGACATCGACGCCTGTTTCCCTCTGCGCTCGTGCTTCTGCCGGTCCGCAATCAATTTTCGCTGAAGCTCCAGGGGTATATCATTATACGTTGCCGGCATCCCGTGCGCGGCAATGTGCGCTTCGAATATGCGAAAGTATTCCTGTGTCATCTTGTGATGGTTCCCCTCCGAGTCTACCTAACAGTGTGGACCCAATTCGCACGACTTCGGACAGCGAAAGAATGCGTACATGTCAGGCTAAATGGGCCGCCGTCCTGACTCTTCTTGTTCTGTGGCGATATCTTAGTCTCGTTCCGCGAGTATACGACTACTGGTTGATGTTCGTCCACGTTTGTCGACTCTTCTCGCCGACCGGCTGGCGGACTGCGAATTAGCTTCCATAAAGTTGAAGAAGAGGCTGACCTGAAGTCTCTTGCCCTTCTGGAAATATGGGCTCCAGTCGAGCAGTTATTTGTCTGCAATGGCCTAATCAATCTCGGTGCCGTCATATTCCCTCGTCAGGGCTGGTTGCGAACGCTCTGTGACGGAGACCACCACCTTCGTGTGCTCGTGCCGCAGTCGTCGGTTCCCAGGAAACCTTCGGCGCACCACTTGCTTGAACCGGCCTTGTAAGACCAATCGCTAGTAGTAGGCGAGAGAAACCACCACGTTGGGCTCAGATTGACTAGAGACCGCCTTGTTGTTCAATCTCACCTTCCACTCGATTAAATAATGGAAACGGCCTCCGTCATATGTCTGGTGTGGATCCTAATCCTTCTCGTTTAAAAATGACGATTTCTCTTGATGTGAGGATAGATTCTGGCTGGGCGCGTGTGGGGTTCCGTTCGATCTGCCGCGAGAAACGACGGGTTCAGGAAGGGGTGAGGGTAAATCTCCCTCTTCAGAGGGCGTGACCGTGTCTGGCAATTGTGAAGGACCTTGTGAAGCATCCTGAGATGGGCATTGCAAATGAAATATTTGTCTAAATCAGGATACTCGGCCATGGCGTCGGCGGACGCCTGGGCGGGTACGGGTGGGATGAGTTGATGTCGAAGGGAGTCGAAGGTGTCCGGTCCCCAAGAGGTCTCCTGCGGTCAGCAAGTGAACACCTTCGCATCCTGAGCCCATCTCACACTAGTACCTCTCTTTTCACGCACAATAACTCTTGCCCATGCATCCAGACCAGCGTGTAAAACAGATATTTGTCATGTAAGCACTGTTACTCCCAGCATGCTAAAATCAATAGAACCAACGCCAGTCGCAGGACGTTTCTCCTGCCAGGGCTTGGTGTTCTATTTCTCTTGCCCCTCCCTCTTAACAACGCCGCACATCACCACAACGTCTGGCAGAGTGCATCTCGCATCTTCAACTAGCGTAGCTTCAATTGATATCATTTCACTCCATGTCTGATCATCTAACTCTTCTGACTAATTTTCAGTGGAAGGGTCGACGGAAAGTTATGCAACATCGCGGGCGCCTTGTGGCAATGGTAATGCCTCACGATGGAGGAGAATTAGGCTCGACCAGCTCCTCATATTCAAGTTTGGCTCGTTTGAACTCGAAGAAGTCGTAAGGTCGTCGAAGACAGCAACCTCAAATACTGAAGCGTGAAGGGGCCAGTGTCAACAGGCAACCAAGCTCAGGTGCACATGGATAGAGAACGCGTTCCGCACATTAGGAATAGCTCAAGTATGAAGGAATCAAATTTAAATGTCGAATGAACCGTATCTCGAATGTTAGTTCTAAACAAAATCTGCACCAGCTCGAGGAGGGTGCGCGCCCAGAAAAGTGTACGGCTGAAGCTGCCCCTAACCATTGCCGCGGATCAACCCCGCCATTTCTGATGGTGGCGTGCATCAATCCACCTAACGACAGATCGTCGCCCTATCTTCCTTTCCCGCATCGCACGTAGCTGCAGGCACCAAGGTAGGGGTTATCTTAGCTTCGCAGCTCGTTAAGATAGGTGTGACTGGAACTGCGGCTCGGCAGACCGCCTGACATACTCGCAAGGCTGGCGCACGCAACTCACGCCAAAATATGGAAAGCCTGACGAGCTGTGGTAGAATCGTCTCTCTTTTCCAGATATCGCGGGAGTTTATTTGGATACCGTTTCCAGGATGGAGAACAGCATCATGGCTGGTTAGCTAGATTTTCGAGAGTAGATATTTAGTTCAATCCTCCTCAGCAGTATGGCCGTAAAGTGTGGTGGCGGCTTCATTCTGATATGGACAATCAGCACTGTGCAGATCGAAGGGTCAAGGTCACCCTGGTCGAACAAAAGTTGAAGGTACTGCGCGATGTCCTTGATACCGTGGTTGAACTCAATTGCCCCTCTCATAGCTGTGGTAAATAGTGTACAGATTGGTAAAGTGCGCCCTTTCCGGTCTGACAAAATATGGAAATCTTACAAAGATCTGGTACAGATAAAACGAGATTTTGCCAAGAATGTGTCCCGTCGTGATTCGTTGCTCTAATACAACATCTAGACAAAATCCAGGAAAGCGTCTTGGCTAGCGGAATCGGAAATAATTGCAATGTGTCCGCCGGGGTAGGTACGTTTCGGGAAGTTCTGTAATATCGAAGCAAGTCTTCCAAGCTGGGTCCGAGAAGCTCAAGGAGGATCTTGAACTCGTCCGGCTCGCCGTGCCAGTGTACGCGGGGAAAGCCAGGCTTACGGGCGAATTCTTGGTACACGCTGACCTCGTTCATGAGAAGCGGTGGCTGACATACAATGCTCGATTATGATGGCGCTCTCTTTGCCCGTGTCAACACCACGCCCTGGAGAACTATCAGTGAGATAGGTCCATCAAGTTCCAGTTGAAGCACTCTACCTTACCTAAATAGACCCCACCAAAACCGCCGACGCCCAGTTTCTGCGCCAACTGGTATTTGTCCCCTATCCGGATCTCTTGAATCCGCCTCACAAAAGGGTCGCTGCCGCTGCCGCTGCCGCTGCCGTTGCTCATTTCGTCGGTGGCCAGTGCCATCTTCAACCACGCAGTTCCTCTTCGACCTGTTTTCCCTCGTTGCTTTCGCTGGATGTGTCACTCGTTGGGTGGTAGCTGGTTTGGTTCGAATCTGGCGGGGATCAACTTGCACCTTGAACCAGAGAATCTGGGTGCACAGGCAGATGATCCCCGGAGCATGCTCGGCTAGGTGACCCTGCCGCCTTCTGAGATTCACTGCTGAAGATTACCTTGACTCTCGCCTCTCTAAAGGAGTATGGCCGCCGGGTTCATAAGGAGAAGGGCCGGCTACCGGTTTGCAACCCTACACCCAACATTGAACATCCTGGAGGACAAGCTCAACAATGTCTCAAGGGTTTTGCTCGCCGTGGAGGCCCTGGCCTATCACATCTGAGAGGAGTACGTCTTTACTATTCCGGTGTAACCCAGCTGTGACTGACCAGAAACGGGAACAATTTTCCGACGACCACGAGCAGCTTGACGATATAGAGTCAACCACATCTTCCGGTTATATTCGAATGAGGAATCTTGAGAGCAAACTAAGTGAAAATGGCGAGTATCTGCCATCGCACCGCTACCCTGAGTCGCTCATTTTGCTCGACATCCAAACCAGACTTGCTTCGCGGCGATCGTCCCAGGCAACATCTCAATTTGATGTTGAAGAGTTTTTCGATATCAGGGAATAAACGGAATTGTCAAACACGGACACCACAGCGATGAGCAAATTCATCCCAATCATCACCGGCAAAGAAACCACCACGCACCGGTCGGGATGTGAGAGCCGCTTCAGTAACTTCGAATCATTCATCAAAGACATGTCTGCTGCACAGCCTGCCCTGTACCATGGAGCGAAGCCATCTGCGATCCACCAGCACGTCCGGAGTGACCTCAACCGACACGTTATTCCCACCAGCTCGGGTATTCGTCCTGCTGCGCCTCATTTCTTCATGGAGCTCAAGGGTAAGGATGGACTTATTGCCGAGTCGGAAGTCCAGGTCATCCAAGATGGAGAACCTGGAGCCGTTGCTATCGACAGGCTACAGAACTACTGCACCGTGGCGCTCACCTACGACAACATTGGATACACCCTTACTACAACCTATGAAGCCGCAAACGGCACGCTCAGCATCTTTGCCGTGCAGGCGAGCCTGTATACCATACGACTCTCGTGAACGATTATGCCATGAGAGGAAACGTCCGCAACTTCCGAGAAGGACTCACCGCCTATCGGAACACTCGCGACCTGACTAAGACCTATCGGGACTGTTTCATCAACCAAGCAAACCAGGTTGCTGCTGTCCTCTTGCCTGGCTCCGAGCCTCCCGCAACAACCTCCAAGCGCGGTCAACCACATGATGAGTCGAATGCCTTCGAAGAAGACGAGCAAGCTCACGACGAGGAGTAGAGGGCTAGAGCGAATCTCCCCAAACCCAACCCAGCCCGGAGTAAACGCGGTCAGGGAACGGCTACCATACCTTGTGCGAGTATGCAATCTTCCACGGTCCAGACAAGTCTTCAACCACAGACGTCTGCTCGCAAACAACCGCGGCGACGAAGACGGGGTGGACCGCCCGCGTTGATTTGTCGACGAAAGAAAAGGGCCCAAGGTTTTCCGGCAAGAGAGAGTGTGTGTGGCATGCATGTTGTGGGTGACTGCTCGCCGCTTGTGCAAGCCCAGCTCACTGAAGGACTGTCTCAACATCATCTCGAGGGCGGATTTGTGCGTGTACGACAAGAAGTCGCCTGCCCTGCAAGACGACTCGTCGGTTTGCCTCTCGGCCGCTGTCCTTCCACAACACGTTGCAGCTGGGGACACGTATGCTCGGTGGACACGACCGCAAAGGGTATTGGGTTTGACACTTCTCTTTCTTCAACGGGACTTCATGTCGTTCTTTGGTCGTCGAAGAACGAGGGCCACATTTCGATGTTACATCTGATTGGTTCTTGAAATAGAGGTGCAGTGCAACCTTGTCTTTCTCGAGGATGGAGGCTTAGAGAACCAAAGAAGTGGCTAGTCTTGGTCATTGCTACATGTTATGTTAACTTTGCACGCAATACAAGCTTGTTCCGTCTCCGCGTCTGCAATGAGCGATCTAATAAAGACCCATCTACGAACATGATAGCATATGACGCTGGGATGATTCATAAACAGCCAATGTCCGCTGTACAGCTTGCGGTGAGTCTTTGCCTGGATGAATGGCCTCTGTCTCTCCTTTCCGGGGGCACAGCCTTGCAAACAGCATCCACGTGATATTGAATGTCATGTGCTCTGCGCTTGGCTGGGCGTGAGAGAACGCAGCAAGACCGGGGGAGGCAGAGAAGAAGGAGAAGGCGGTGTCTCCTGGGGTGGGGGAGGCTTCGTTGTCCCAGGTCTGCTTCCGAAGCGTGCTCCCTTCCTCGACTGACATCAAGACGACCTCTGTCACGCGGCCAGCCAGTGACCATTTGATGGCCGCACCACCTTTCCATGACTCGTCGCTGCTCCAAGTTGGTCCTACGAGTCCGGGCTAGCTAGAGTGGGCCCCCCAGACGGCACGGAATGAAGTTCCCAGGAGCTAGTCGCAGGCTAGGGAGAACAGCTCGTCCGTTCTGATTTGTTGGGAATGCGAGTGGCCACCACGGCCTTCCGCATTTGGAGAAGGGCCGTGAGACACAGCGTCAAGGGCGTCAACGTCGGTAGTGCCATAGGGAGGTTGTTGGGGTGACACAACGTTGGCGTACGATAAGCTGGCCAGAGGGCGGTTTGTATTTTCCACCCTGTCCTCCCCTCCTCCCCGGATTATTCTGTCTTCTTTTCGAGCCGTGACGACGGCAGGCGTGCAAGTGGCGGTCGGGGTCGCCAGTCAGGGCCTTGTGAAGGCCGCCTTAGCCTCTGGAGTGGAGACACACCCCCCGGGATGTGCGTGAAGGGTGCTTCGTTCTGATCGCTGCTGGCAGCAAAGTGGTCTTTCCCCTCCCCTTGCCTGGTCCTGGCCCCTGCCGGGTATGCAGATCTCGACATGTGTGTCTGGACATCCAGGGAATCAGGAGTCAATGCGGGAGCATCATCCAGCTTCCAGCTACCGAGCGGAGAAATTCTGGTGGTGGTAGGTGGACAGGGCGTTGAGTAAGACTGCGTCGCTAGTGAGGTCCAAGTGTTCGCCGAAGCAGGGCAGGACAGGGCCTGCAATCAGGTGGCAGCAAAATGCCAATGGAGACAGAGGAGGAGAGGGCGGTGCAGATGCAGACGCAAATGCAAATGCAGACGCGGGCTGCAGCAATACAGAATGTCGAGTGCATGGATGGGGGTGAAGTGAAAGTGAGTGAAAGAATGTTGATGTGGCACATCACAGAGCCGCCAAGGATTCAGCCGCCTGGTTTGAGCCCCCAGTATGTCTTCCAGTGTCTCGACTCTGGAGGCCTTTGTACCGAGTATTTCTACCTCCCATTCCCCCTTCCCCCAGCTCCCCCTCCTCGTCTTCAACCTCATCTACCTCTCGCTAAGTCCTCCTGGTTCCTTACAAACCCCATCCCAAGCATCTTTTCCCTCGCTGTGTTCCCATCATCTCCTTGGCTCCCTTCATCTGCCCTTCTTCTCTTCAGCTCCTTGCTCCCCTCGTTGTCGTTCGTTCCTCTCCTTCTTCCCTTCGAATTTGTGCAGCCTCTTACCCATCCCAAGTCTGCTCCAATGAATATTGTGTCTACGGGCCCAGTGGCCTACTTTCAAGGCCGCATTGATCACATGCTGCACTGCTCATTTCTATACGATCGTTTTGCCCGGAGGCTTCTAGCCTCCTTGGACGCCATCGACCCCCGAAAGAATCATGTCGTGGTCGTGCAGACCCGGTCTCTCACGCGCATAGATAGTGGGGGCTGGCATGATTGCGGAGTGGCTGATACTGGGTTTCATCACTTCGACCGGCCTCTCGAGCTGGCAGGCAACGGGCCGGTGTCGGTTCGGCTGGCCTATATGAAAGGCCTTCTCTTCATGGCGATGGAGTATCCCGACCCAGATCGAGGAAAAAATCCTTTCGAAGACGAGTCTATCACCAGAGCCTATGGGGTAACGTCTATTTCCTCCCTTCCTCAAGAAAGCCTCGATAGGAGCCACTGCTAACTCTCCAATGTCCTTCAAAGCCCTCACTGGCGATGCTGCTGTTGCAAAGGATGTGGGATACATACGATTCTCTCAGTCTCCTGTTGTGGCTTTACCCAGCGGATCTCCCACCTGAATTGCCGCCGGATGAGCTGTTGACTTCTTGGGCAAAACAGTTGGCCGCCGTCAATGGTGCCTTGCGTGGGCTGATAGCAACCACGGGTGCCGAATACATCCACCGGCGAGACATGGAAGCGGGCGGTCAAGATGACCACCTTGACGACATGTACGGAGTGCATGGTCTTCTTCACGATACTGATAGGCTTCTGGACGAACTACAGAGCCAACGAGATGACAAGAAGCTCAGCACCTGGGCTTCGTACCGGGACCACCTGGACTTCATACGCAACAAACTGGAGAGTACCATGTATTTCATCAAAACTGGCATGGAGATAGCTGAGAACGAGACGACGGGGATGACTGAAATCCGCGGAGAAAATGGAACAAGGGGATGGCGGTTTTGACACGGAATGGTCTTCAAGCTGGTGGTGCGCTTGACTTTCGGGTTTTCTACCTTCTTTTCACGATTTTGAGGGGTTCAGGGCCAGAGAAACGTGGTGTGGAACAGATACCTTCGGTTGGTGATCGGGAGTTGGTTTGGTTTGTCCCGCTAGCTGTGTGCTGAATGTTCGTTAGTTGTGCCACGGTCTGATTTGGACTCGTGAAAAGTTCATCTTTTGGAAAACACGCGTGTTTTTGGCATTAGCTTTGCGACGCAACTTGGGGGACGAAAAGCCAACTGACTGACGAGCCGGCATCACCTCTCTCTATCCCTCCCCCTCCCCCTTCTACTCGATGATGGTGAACTGATGGTCGTAGCACCTGTTGCGAGGTTGAGCGTTAGTGTTGCAGGTGGCTGCCAATCAGGGGGAATACACCTGGCCAGCTCTGGCTAAGTCACCAGCTACCGCTCGAGCTCTTCCGCTTCACTTGAAGCACCCTCCTTTGTGGTTTAGTCTCGCGGCCTACCCCTCCCTCCCTCCCTCCCTCCCTCTCTCTCTCTGTATCGCCTTAGTTTGATGGTTCGGTTGGGTGAACTTGGCCTCTGGCACCACTAATGCGATCAAACCCCTGGAGAAGGCGGCAAAGACTTTGGTTTGCCTTGGCTTGGTTGCTTGCTTGGTCGCCTTCGCAGCTCATTGGCCTTGCCCACCTTTGTGAGGAGAAATCGGGCCAAAAGGAAAGTTCTGGCTGGAATCATGAATCATCAATGTCCAGATATGCACCAGGTCTAGTCGTGAGTTGCGTGGAGGTGTAGCGTGAGGGTGCATTGGGACCTCGTTAGCAATCGAACAAATTCAAGCAAATCGGCCGATCGAGGCGAAAGCCATGGCAGGTGTGGGACCCAAAGTTGGTCTTCCTTTCTCCCCGGGAGCGTCCGGGTACTCGAGGTAGTCAAGATACCTTGGATGGTTCTGTAGGTTGGTACTTATGTCTGTGCCTTTATCCTTCAACCTAGTTGTAGTTTTCGGATGTCCGCACGCCAGCGTGGCTGAGATTTTGACCTGTCGACATCCCGTAGTCAGCGATAGGCCTCACGTTTTTCGACTTCCATATGGTTTCCAATGCAGGATACAGTCCTGATGTCATGCGTGAAAATGCTCAGACGGAACACAAACATAGATCGAGGCAGCATCCATGGCACACACTATTCCGACGTTGTTTTGGCGGTCAATTCTGTTTGCAAATGCCAAAATGCCCGTGCGTGCATGAATATGAGGCTGGCGGGCTAATGCCCAACAAGTCAGTCTCTTTCGCAACAAGAGGTCAGGCAGAGGGAATGGAGTGTCACTTGGTGCTGCTCACTGGATCCTGCCTGCGTCCCCTGCCTGGCCTGAGCGTAGAAGGGCTCTGAGAACCGGAGTCTTCCATCTTGTAAAGTTGAGAAGTGTGTGGATGGGCTTGCGTCCCTCGCTTACACCGATCAATGGTTCGCAAATGAGAAACCTCGAAGGGACAAGGTGGCAACTGTCACCACCACCCTCTTCCTCTCCAACCCTGCCCTCCATCTGGTTTATTGGCTCGGCCCGCGCCATTCGGGTGAGCTCCCTGTCCAACCCACCGACCTTCGCAAGGTCCGAGCAAAGCATACAGAAAATGACATGGAACACAAGAGCCCCCATGCATCAGGGCCAATGGAGCTCTCAGGCCGACCTCCCTTGTTGAGCACCACCTACGCCGGGGGCAGGTGGGCGTGCCTGGCAAAACAGGGCGAAACAAGGCGAAGACACGGGCAGCACTCCTCTGCTCGGCAACTCGAGACCATGTTTGGTAGTCTAAGGTTCGCGTGCAGATAGACGTAGGGTCCAAATGAAAGACATAGAATGCAATGAAGTTGGACTGCAGTCTGGAGGTGTTTGATTGTGTGAAGGGCGGTAGATAGTTGGGTGCAGTTGGTGGTAAGGAGGGTGGGGGTTTGTAGGCGCAGGCGCAGGCAGTAGTAGTGGGCGAGAGGCCGATTTGCTGATCTGCCCTCCATCCCTCTCTCCCATTCCCTTCCCCCGCTCCCTCACCCTCTACTCTGCCCCTCCCGCTATGTTATACACACTCACGATTTCCTCCTCTCACAATCACGATGGCTCTTGCTCCCCGCGCCGTACTCGCCGACGCTGATGCATGCCCAACTACCGCCCCAGGATCCCATCAACCCTGGTTCCCCGACTTTGGCCAGTTAGCGACAAACCAAGGGAACTAGTCAATGTCCCCCACTGGCCCAGTCTTGCGCCCAACAGAGCAGGTCGAGTGTCTGCCCGACTGTTGGCGTCCATCACTGCCTCTCTGTCTCATTATTGTTGTCGTTGAGTCTCTACCACTCGCCCCGCTGGCCTAGGCTTCATGGACCATCGCTGGCCTCCAAGTACAACACTGCCGATCCAACAACCTCCTCAACACGCCTGTCACTTTCATCCACCCTGTAGGCAGCTTGCCTCCTAGGTTCGCTCTCCTTCGTCCTCTGCACTCCGTTCCTGTCTTCACCCAGTTGGGTCGGGATAGGAAAAAGGAAGTTCACTCCAGGGGTGCCCAAAAGTGAGGCGGAGGCTTGCAGGATGCAAGTGCAAATGCAAAATCCAGATGCAGCGTAGCCAACACATTTTGTCTCAATTCCAAGATGGACTTTTCGGGCTGGGAATAGCATCCAATTGGTTACATTCTCCCAGGCCACTCATTCTGGGTTGGCACTTGCTTGTTTGCTGCTCCTACGCCTCTGGCTGTCGGCAAAGTCCTTTTGTTTGCTATGATTTTGCTTCGCTCACACTTCGTGACTGCACATGGTGCAAATGACAAAGGCTTTGCACCTACCAATAGCTATGGGGTGCCCTAAAAGGGGCCCTGCTCCGGGCAATTGTCACTAGGCTGGTGCTGGGAGTGTTAAGTGGGTGGCAAGCCGCAGAGGGGTGTCTGGAGCGAGAGCCTGAGGACGTTCGAGTCCTGACTGCTGAGTGCCCCTAATTGCTCTATACCTCCAACAAGTGACCAGGGCCAAAGATATCATAGACAACGAGCTGCTCCAGGGTGCGAGGAAAGCCGCCAGTGGCCGCTGAGGGAGACAGCGTTAGTACCGCAGAGCACGTCACGTGTAGCAACTCGGTACTGAGGCACGATATTCTACGGTAAAGTACATATCATTGCCGACGTTGCTAGAGCGGCACCCGTCAGTGCCGTCCTCGCCGAGTTCTCGCCCCCCTTTCCGCCTGGAGCCTTGTGGCTCCCTCTCGCAAGGCTGAGCAACCTCTCCCACAATGATTAGTTACACCGGCCTTCAACCGGCGACTTTCCTTCTTTCCGTTTGTTTGTCTGACATATCCGGGGAGGCCACTAAGGATTTCGAGTAACATACCCATATTGGGTAGTTCATAAGACTTTCTCCACCTGCTCTTTCCGCCATAATCGCGTAGATCAGGCGCTTGTCGTTTCTCTCGTCCTCCCCTATTTCAACCTCACATCCTCCTGGGGCCCCAGATCATGCTCACTGAAGACCATGGAGACATCTCCAACATATGCCATGAGGTCAATATCTTGGGCTCCCAATGATCCGCGGACGTGACCTTCTTGGGAAAGCAAGCTTCATCCTAGTCGTCGGCGTGCCATGGCAGACCGTGCACGACCATCTCCCGGTCACAGGATTGTATCTTGCAGTGCAGCTTTTGTGATTGGATCGGCTATGTCAGACAGACTGATAGCGTGGGTGATGACCCGTATACACCTCGACGAATCCTATTGGCCCTCAACAGAGCTCACGTCTGATAAGCGCAGCTCTTGTATCGACGCCTTGGTCAGCAAGGCTCCGAATGCCGACATAAAGGAGGAATGCTTATGCCTTGTAGATTTTCTGGTGATCACGGTATCAGGTATGCCTTCTGATTGTTGGATGTGGAGCAAATGCAATTGCCTCCGCCAACGAGGTGTGCCTCGGCCCTCTATCTAGCGGCAAGGCTTCATCGCTGCAGTATCTCTTCACTAGAAGGACTGGTGGGAGCCTCAGATATCTGAAATCAAGGGCAGTAAGGCTGTGGCGGCCGGGCCACGTCGGAGGGAGGAGGTCAGGCTTCAAAAAGGGTTGCCAGGGTGCCCAGGAGTCGCAGAGCAAGAATGAGAGGCGCAGTTGGCAGAGGTATTGAGGTAGCCAGGATGGTCACAGAGGCCAAATAGGTCAAGGAGAAGAGGGCGGTGAAGGCGGTGATGCGGTGGCTTGCGGTGACCCTGCGACTTGACACAGGCGCAGGCAGGTCGAAGGCCAACGCAGCCGCCGCTCAGTGACCGCAGTTGAAGGTTCACTGAGAATGTGAACGGTGATCTGACGCCATCTCTCTTCCTTACTTATCCCCTTCCTCCCCGTTTCACTTCTTCCTCCAAGATCGGCCGCCTTCTCTGTCTTCGCTATCCTCCTTACTCGGCCTGGCTGATTCCTGCCCCGTTCCAGTATAGAGTGCACTTATCAGGCAAGTGGTTGCGAATCATATGCGCGCTCTGGGATGACTGAAGCTTGGTAGACATCTCCCTTCTTTCGCAAATTGCAACTCCCACCTCACGCCCTTGGACCCCTATCATCCCTCACAACCCCTACAACCCGAGCATCTCGCCAGAATCTAGTGGTTGTTGTGCCAGATTTACCTCTCTCCACTTTCCCAGCTCATCGTTACCCTTCGGATCAATCTCGACATCCTCTAAAACTACCATCCCACCCCAAGTGTTTGCCATCAGTATTGCCTTTCTATCTCATCAACCTTCTCTTTGTACTCAGCTGCAATATTCCATTGCCTAAGCTGGCTCACTTCCACACCACTCTGTTGCAACAAAGAGATCACTGCCACGGGATACTCTATTCTTGAGCCGAAATTTCACTCAACCCCATGGCAACCTCACCCACAGAAAGTACTCCTGTCTCAGGTACATAAGTGAGGTCAGCTACACCAGCTACGGACTTTCAAACTCTCGCCATTGAAAGATGGACTCCCACCAACACCGTCACCTTCTACCCATCCTCTGAACGCCCCCAGTTGACATTCTTCATCTCGACCCACTGTCTGATGGTGAATGCCAACGATGACAGAGTCAATCAAGATCTTGAGCTCCACCATTCTGGCGAGCAGGAGGACCGCAGCCGAACCTGGCCCTTCGCGAGTGTTGTATCCGCCGTGAGAGACCCGGTCTGCCACTTGTCCAAACTGTCAGGCTTGCAAGATCTGGTCAACACCCTCTTCCAAATGGACCTGCAACGCCTGCACCACCCCGCCGCCCTCCTGAAAATCCAGACCGGCAGACTCGGCTAAGAGATCCAGGTGAGCCGGTTCTTTTTGCTGGTATTTCACCGAAGCGAGGCAGCAGAAAGAGTCAGCGCCCCACAGACGGTGATCTTACCTCGATTGTGCCAGGCAAAATCCTGAGTGTCCGAATGAGCATGGGTGACGACGGTGTGCCGGCAATGGAGATTTTCCACCTCTACAGGCTCAACAAGGAGACGGAAGATTCAACCGAGTTCTATCATTCATTGCAGGAATTCAATGAGCACATCTGGTTCCAAGAGGCAGATGCTAGTCACCCCTGCGGGGAGATGATGGATTACGCTTGTGACTACAACTGGACCGAGCAATGGACGGACACCTGGTTGGAGAGGCAGGGGCTCCAGCCGAACTGACCGGTGGGGCAGCCTTGGGACGGAAGCAGGACTTTTACACTGCCTAGCGAGAGGCAATTGGAAAGTGGATTTTGATAGGCATGGACTACCCTGAAAGTGCGAATTTCTCTTGCCAACACGAAGCCATCGAACAGCACTCGGTTGCTCTCGTGTCAGTCCCAGAATCTGCCAGTTCCTAGAGCGGCCAACATCTCCAGCTGGCCGAATTAAACGAGCGGTTGGTTGGACGAAAGACCTCACCTTCAGCCGTGACCAGGATTCCTCTGCGACCCATCTGCACATGGTGGCTTCATGACGCCAAGTCCTCTTGGTGTAATGGTCTCTTTACCTAATAGCAACAGAGGTTACTCGCAGCCTATAGGCTGACAATAGTTTGTTGCAGAGTTGAGACAGGTGCCTCGACAATTTGCTTTCTGTCCCCCCTCGAACCGCCTTTATGCTTCATCTGGACCTTTGCTCGACTCGACTAGGATGCTTGCTGGAGAATAGACTGGGAATCAACTGTGCAAAGACCTTGGGACATGCCAACCTGTCAGAAACGGGCTGCAGGGCCAAGAGAGGACGTCTGTCTACCTGGGGACCTTGTATTTTGCCTTGCCGATGCCAATTCTCCTTCGCTTTTCCCAGGATGGTCTCTTGGGCCATATCAACAGGTTCACCAACTTGAAGGACAACAAAGTCATCTTTCAGTAGCGTCCGAATGGCCACTCCATCCGCATACCATGCCTCCGATGTCTCACTTTGCCGCCCTCTGGGGTGCCGACAACCCCGACTTGGACCACAAACTGGCGAGTCGTCTCCATAGTTTGTTGGGCCGCCAACGCCAGGCTAGGCTTCTTGCTCCGTCTCTACCACCGGGTGGCTGCGGTCTACATACACGCACATTACGGTCTAGATTATTGCGTGATAATCGATGCTAGCCTCAGGATCCTACATAGGTTGCTTTCATCGATTTACCACCGACCTGGACTTATCTGGCGAGGGGCACGCGAGATAGACGACAGGTGAAGAGGAAAGGGCTGAGAAGTGTCTGCTGCCTGGCTTTCTTACATGGAATAAATGCCTGGACCATGGTGAGGCAACCTGCGTGCCTGTGTCGATACGGTCAGGGAGGGATTGCGGCGTGGACTTGCGAATGAGCGTCTCGATTGATTCAATGAGCAATGATTCTCGCCCAAGGGCAGCTGCTGGACATTCGGCCCTTGCATCGACCGGACTGTCCAGAAGGACGCCACAGCGTCTCTGGTATCCTGGATGTTTGAGATATGACCTCTCATTCTTGACGGGTGGAACTCCACACCCACGCATTAGAACGGGTTTCTCATTGGTGCCGAGCGACACCCTAAACCATTGATAAACGAAGCTGGGGCGCTTGAGAATGTCGATCGGGGCAGGGTGCGGGTGGCCATTGGCCCCAAATTCTCTTTTGCTCGGGGTTGGAAGGAATCCAAGACATTTGACGCTTCAGGCTACACCGGCAAGGCGGCAGCTTTCAGCTACGACCTGGAGAATACGAGGAATTGCAGGCGTGGAGATGGGGTCACGCATGACTTACGACTCAGTTGACCAGTTTCTACAGTCACCGGCATTCTCGGCTCTGGCCTGCTACGCCGTCCTCTGCTTCAGCCTCAGCCCACGAATGTGGCGATTGATAGCAAAGAGCTGAGAGTCAATAGTGGGGACGAACCAACCGTTTCCTGGGTCTCAAGAATCTCCCATGGCGCTTTGAAGCTCGGTTTCATTGAGTAGGGAAGAGCTGTGCCAGGCTCAGGCTGTCTCATCACTTGCACCACCCTGGCCGAGGCAGAGAAAGTGCCCTTTTGGCGTGGCCAGATCTTCCCCAGGATAGAAGTCGACTTGGGCAACCCAGCAGTACCAATAAGGAGCATGCTCATGGTGGCCACCCACCCTCTTCAAAGTCACGCCAAGCGCCAATGGCAGACTGAACCCCGCGCTGAGAGAAGTGATCTAGCAAGTCGGAGCGAGGAGGACCTGCTGCTCTTTGAAGGCGTCAAGAGATCCCGTCCTCGCCGATTCCATGTGAGAGAGAGAGAGTCGAATTTCGCACCCACCAGCCCACCAAGATCACTAGTACTGCTAAAGGGGTGTGGGCCATACGAGCATGCCGTAAAAACCCCAATGTTCGCAGAGTTTCACGTCGATCAGGCTCGATCTCCAACCTCCCTCCATTGCCTCACAGAGCAGCAAATACCAAACGTAACGGATGGCCCTCTCTGGCACAGGCCGCTTGACTACAGAACCCCGACAACATAGCCCCAGGATGGAGGACGAAATTCTGGCCCAGCGGAGCCGACTTTCTTGGGCTTGCGAGAAAACCGCAGCGGTTCTCATCATCCTCCTGGGCCCATTCGTCGGGCTGATCGGTGGAGCCTGCTTGCCGCTAATCTGGATATACTTCCGCGTCAAACTGGTCGTCCAGTATCTACGGTCAAGGAGCCCCATACAAGAGAAGGACTCCATACTCAAAATGGTCTAGAAAGCGTGAAAGGTAAGCCACCAAAGACTTTGGCATGGAGATATTTGGTCTCTGACCGGGTTGAAGTGGCATGCCGCTCGCAGAGGAGGGGATAAGGAGATCGGCCGTCGTGGAGACCATCTGAAAGATGAGATTAGGGGGCCAGGAAAGCGATCGGGAAGCCGTGGCAGACATCAATCCTCAGGTCAAGGTCGAGATAGCGGGGGCCACACAGCCTCTTCGATGGCATGACAGCACCATGGATTCCCAGGAGAGATATAAAGTCGGCCGCACTAGTTGGGGCCGTGCCCTCTCACCTTCCTCTCTCCCATTGATCCCATGTGAGAACTGTTTAAGAGCTTCCCAGTGTCCTAGGTCTCTCTTCCACCCAGACCCCAAAACCTTTATATCGGTGGAAAGACTTCCACACCCAGTGCGACGTCTCTTGCAAACGTTTCCCAAACCCTCCTCCGATCTAGCACATCGCAGATCATATCCGCAGAGTCCCGCTCTGAAGGTTGAACACCCGTTCATCACCATTGTTTTGTCTTTACTTGGAGGTCTATATTGAAGCCATCCCACTCTCCAAGCCATGTCGGCGTCCTCCCCGAACCGCTCGCTTGCTGCTGTCTTGTCAGCGGAGTTCTTGGAAATGCTCCTGGCCACGCACGGGGTTTCTTCAACCAACCCTATTGCAGAGGCTGGTGTTACCGTGCCGCCTCGTCTGCCTCCGCGAGGGAGCGAGCTGGAAATGCCGATCAACCTTGACTTTCGCCTCCAGGTCTTGCGCGTTGTCCAGGACAGAGCTGACAAGCAGCTCGAAAAGCTACGGGCAGAGGAGGAGGACATCCGGAGGCATCGGGCCCAAGCGTGTCCCAGTCACGAGCGAGTTCGTTGAGCACGTGAAGAAGTCTTGTTCGATCGGTTCCGTCACGGCGTTGCGACGGAGGAAAGGGTACGCTTCGAATGCCAGGCGGCCCGGGCCCGGTGATACTGATGATGCCACGATAGATCGTGACCGCGAAAATCGAGCCTCTAGAGGAGCAGCTGCAGCGGTCGACGTGCCCTCCCCTACAATACAGGTGCATCCTACACAGGCATCCGTTGTGTCACACCCGGGAGGATGCCCCGCTGACTGCTCCTCCTTCTCCGGGTTCTCCGATGACGAGTGTCGCATCAACACCGAGCCCTCCCAGCGAAGCCTCTTTTGTTCGCGAGCAAAGCGATGAGCAGGACGATGCTTCCACGATCAAGGTGGAAATGGAAGATACCCCAGAGACAGAGGCTACGGCAGAGGCGTCAGATGGCGCCGAAGAAGGTAGTTGGAAGACAGAGACGACAACAGCGGCAGCGGCAGCGGCAGAAAGCGTGCGGCCATTTCCAAGGCCAGGGAGTGCACGCATTCCGTCGTCTGCAAAGTCACGTATGCCGTCGTGTCCCTTCTCAATGTCACTCAGGTCTATGCACCCTTGTGTTGCTGCCGCTGTTCGTCGACTCCGAAGTCCCGGGGACGATGCCCAACAGCGCGGCTCGAGGCGTCCACAGAGCAAAAAGCCCAGGCTCCCTCGTGCCAAATACGTGACCGTTGCGGGACGGCGGATTTCGGTCATCTTGCCTACCTTGTTCGTCAACATTGCGCATGCACACATCTACCGTGAATCCGGCAACAGATTACCCCGGGGTCAAAAGCACTTCGCCACCAAGGTCTCCAAGAGGGGATCCAGATACTACGACGGTTATGTATCGCTGGACCAAGCCGTCGCCACTTGCCGCATCAGGGGATTGCATCGAGTCGTCACAGAGCTGGAGCAATTGCGGGCTCTGCACCGTCCAGACCGCGAGCCAGCCATGACTGCATCAACACCTTCGACCGCCTCCGCAGTCAAGGAACAGACACCGTGGTGACATGGGTGCCATCGCCGACTCTTCTGGGTTTCGCCTGGAGCGGTGCTGGCGCTCGCACTGACTTGTGGCTTCATCGTCATGCTGCTGGTGTTTCGAGGGCGTCGCCCTTGCGCAGCCGGAAGATTGTTGTTCCATGCCTTCATCCACCAATCTCCATGTCCGAGGTCGAACTGCTCAATGCTCACTGCTGGCTCTCCCCCTCCTTCCTTTCTGTCTACGGCAACACAATGACTGGGTAAGAAGACACACCTCCTTACAGCTGATCAAGTAGGCGTCTACAGAAAGAGAAGCACACGACAAGGCTGTCTGCGTCCACCACAGGCTACTCCGCCGCGATGACTTCGTCCAACCCATGGCCGGTCAGGAAGGTTGCGCTGTCGCCGCCATCCCTCACGTCCCTCGCCGACGCCATCGCTGCTGGCCTTGCGTCCAACTTCGCCGTCTCGTCTTGTACGGTGGCCACGCCTCCAGACCTGACGGCGGCGCCTTACCACCTCGCCGGACCTGGACTGACCGGGTCTCCTCGCATCGTCGACGTGGGCGGGCCGCCGCACCTCTCGCCGACGCCCAACCTGGCTAAGCGCTACGACCTGGCCGCCATCGCGCAGCAAGTCGACATGTCTCCGTCCACGGGCTTCATGCTCGGCGCGGGCGCTGGGCCCTTTTACGTCCTGGGGCAGAACTCGGAGCTCATGCCTAACTTTGCGTACGGCACCGCCGCCGGCAGCCAGGGCGAGAGCTCGGTCCGCAACCGCACGCACTACGCCAAGATCACCGCCGCGGACACGGTGTGCTGCGCCCCCGTCCCCCAGGGCAGCACGGGCTTCGCGTTCATGTGCAACCTGTTCTGCTCCGACGGGGTGCCCGGCGCGTGCCTGCACGTCAAGGCGCGGTCGCGCACAGGGCCCCTCAACCTGACCGCGACGATCCAGCGCGCCCTCACCGCCGCGTTCGGGGAGGACACGCTGGTCTCGCTGGGCGGCGTGTTCCTGATCAAGCACGGCACCGCCAAGCTCCACGTCATGCCCGACTTCCCGCCTCGGCCGTTCGGCTCCAGGGCCGACGTCGACCGCTGGCTGCGCTACTTTGACATGTCCTTCGCGCCCGGACCCGACGGGGACGGGGACGGAGAGAGCGCCAGAAGCAGCCACCAGGAAGGCACTGCTACGGGCCCCCTGGTGTGTCTGAGCGTGCTGCACTCGGGCCACGACGGCGGGCTGGCGTTGAGGATGGAGCACACGCACTGCTTCACCGTTTCTTCTCCCGGCGCGGATGGGGGTGGGAGCTCAGGTGCCGACAGAGAGACCACCAAGGGCGGCCATTATCACTACGACCTGGACGAGACGAGGGATGAGATCGATTACGAGGGCTGGTTCAATGTCGCCGAGTTCCTGTACCGGATCGACCAGCCTGGCAGTTGATGAGCTATAACGAATTTCATTGTGTTTGTCAGGTTTTGTTTCCATTTCGATTTGTTATCGAACGTAGTTAGGTAGTAAAGGGTTAGTTAGGGTACTCATTCGCTAAAACCCCCCCATTGATTTAGGGATCATTGGGCGAGGAGGCGTCTAAAATATAGACTCAGTGAGCCCCAGTAGGCCCGCCAATTATACACCTGGGGGCCCGAGCTAGTGCCTAGGTAAATACCCAGTCCCCAAAGGAAGTGCCTAACTCAACTCCCTCGGGGCGGTTCGTGTGGGTGTTTACGCTGAAGACGCGCCCAGATGATTCACCCACTGTGTCATCGACTCTTCCCAGAAACACCAGTATATATTTGCATCCAACTCGGCTCAGCTGGATATGACCATCGCTCTAAGGAAAGCAGCAGCCTTGGTCACCCGTCGGCTCCCCCTTCAACTCTTCGACAGATCTCTCGTTGTGGCTCTTTCGCTTGCGCGTGACTCCTAGCGCCACCGAATCAGAGGGTCGGGAACACCTTGGACGACGAAGCGTCCTTGGCTGACGGCCGGACGAACCGACACCTTGCAGCAGACACTGAACATTGTTTCCAGCACGCCTCTTCCGCAAGGCTGCTTGATGGGTTGAAGCTGCTAGGTTATCCCCCTTGTTCAATCCGGCTATATCTCTGTGGTCACTCACACTTGAGAGCCTGTACGTTGACATGTCCAAGGTGGTCCTCCTTGGAAGCGAAGCCTGGTCGCCACGAACCGTGGTCGTGGATTGATATTCGAAGGCGTGCCGACTGAAGGACGTCTGGGATTCCGCGAGCTTCGCGCCAGGAGCCAAAGCCGCCCGCAGTTGACGGAGAACGTGTGCTCGTTTGGGAGTCGGGAACAGGAAGTTTTCAAACGCTCAGACTTTTGATTCAAGATCCATCCACGACGAACCCAATGGCAGACTCTCCATGATCGTTGCGTGCACTGATGATAGCTTTGTATAGCCAGAACAGCCTAGCCGAATTGGAAAGTCCTCTCGAGGAATACCAACGCGGATTGAGCAATAACAGACCAGCTCTCAAACACAAGCGTGTGCGGAATCCAAGACTCGGCGAAACCGCTCTCACACCCTTCTGCCGCTGCGCACACCGCCGACAGCATCTATCTCTCTGTGAGCGACTCATCTACGCAACGCCGTAAATGGCGCAGGCTTGATTTCTTCGAATGCAGGCCGCCCTCACACGCGCCTCCCAGCAGCAAAGCCCGGCAGGCCCATATCTGCCTCGAAGCCATGTTGTGATCTGCCTGACACGATCAGAGTGTTGAAAGAGACGGAACACGGATCCTCGGGCTGGATATCTGATGACTTGCGTGGAGGAGAGAGACGTTAGGCTCCTGCTCGATCAGGATACCAACCATGGGGCCAAATGAAATGGGATGAGGTGGAGGAATGGGTTCGTGCTCGTTCTCGGCGGATTCCCTCTCGATAGCTTCCTGTCATCCAGCCGTCGCTTTGGCGGAAGGACGTACAATCAGAGGACCGGCCTGTCACAGCGCAACCTAGAGCAGGAGGAATCGCTGTCAAGGGTGCAATTATTCTGACATCAGCTCTGAGACGAAGGAGTCTAACTAGTGTTGCGGCGAAAGCACGAAAGAACAAGTGCGCGCGCAGCCTTGTGCGGAATACTCAGCCTCGTGAGGGGGAACCCATCACGCCAGACCCGCAGGCTGTGATACGGCCTAAACTTCATTGAAATGGTGTTCACGGCCGCTTCGATCATGTGCAGGGTCGTCTAGGTTGGAACGAAGGAAGATGAAGCCAAAGACCGTCCTCGCACAGCTTCTATCACCGACCTCTTCTTGCTATCGACCGGGCGAAAGGCTAATTTGAACACAGGCACAACATCAACGCCGATTGTCCAACCACCTGCGGGTGCTCCATGGCAGGTGCTGGACGCCCGCATCAGCGACGTGATTGTGCCATTCACCTCATGACAGAAGGCACACTGTATGATGGATGCGGACAGGCGGCATTTTCTGGGAGGTCAATGGCCTTGCGCTGGCATCCAATCCGTCGGGGATGCATGCCAGCGGAAACCCGGGCCAGAAGCACACTGGGGCGTTTGATACACGGCTGGTGTTGATCGAGGGTAGAAGAATTCCTGCCACGACGGGAGGGGCAGCACCTTTCCAGGTGAATGAACTTGCCATATTCGCCCCGGAGCGTATGAAGCAGGCCCGAAACGATGTTTTATGGAAGTCGCTTCATATGCCGTGCGTTGGTGATCGTACAACAAGAGATGCAAACAAACAATGAGACCGACTATAGCTCGGTACCGATCGAATCATTGCCCGGATGCTGAGCAGGCCAGGCGCCACAATCGCCTATGACAAAGTTGTGATTCTCCTTCAGATTCGACATGCAAAGACCGGGTCTTCACGAGTGCTGGCAGTGGGTACCAGAGGAACCGTGACAGGTTGCTCTCTTCTTTGCGACAATGTTTCCGACCAGACGATTGGCATATCCAACACAGGCTGCTGGAGTCGAGCAATCGATGATTGTTGTTTGCGGGTGGCTGACGAAGAGAGACGATGAGGCATGTCGAGAAGCAAGCAGATTGTGGCCGACGGCGATGCTCGACAGATCCCAAACCCCGTCTTGATGGGCTAGCCTAGCCTGCTGCTGTGAACTAAATTGGCCAGGCAATTACAATGCTGGTCTTTCCCCGCTATGGACATGAGTCCAGGAGGACAGCTGTGCAACCTGCTGACGTTCAACTAACTCAGCTGCGAGCGTTGGTCTTCCTCTTGCAGGGTGCTCACTTTGCAGCTCTGACAGGCCCCTTGTCCCAACAGCATCCGAGCATCCACTGTTCCCGCCTTTTGGAGCACGTTCTTCCGACACCCATCTGGCATGCCCCAGAGGTTTTGCAGCGAATATCTGTGCCATACTCGAGGATGTCTTCATTATCCTGCGAAAGTGATCGGTTGTCGTGAAAGCAATGCGGCATGAAGGACCGGACTTGGTGCGAGGGAGTGCCGTCAAGACGTCTCGCGATTTGGATTGCGATTTGAAGGGAGAATCAAGCAGATCGGTGAGTAGCGGTATAGCTTGGTCTCAAGGTGTCGTCAACAAGGATAGCCCATTTCCTCTGCTTGCCTTAGGGGCAGGCTTTCTGTTCTTATCCGTGCAGTATATAAGCGCTTTGGGCTCGGGAAAGGCAGATGCTCTCAATTCGAGCTTGAGAGCGGCTAGTTTCATCGCACAGGTGGCTACGCCAATAATCAATCTTTTAGCACCTTCACCACATCTCCGCCTATTGGGCAAAACCTCCCTCGGCGGATGGCACCAAGTTCGCGAGCCTCCTTTGCGACATTCGCCAACACCAGTGAAGAAATTGGGGGAACGTCTCTCGAAGCTGCAAGATGAGAACGAAAGGATGTCCAGGCAATCGGCTCCGAATATATCATTCCCTCCCATTCGAATGTACACGGGCCCGAAACCGAACGTCAATCTCGGTGAAAATCTGTTCCAAGTCTAGGGTCTGCGTCTTTCGAAGCGTAGTCTTTCCTCCGCTGGTCAAGGAACTGCCCGCGCCACTCTCCATTTTATACCTCACAGTTTTGTTTGCAGCGTGTACCAAGGGCCGGCAGAGGGGTTTGGCTCTCACGCGCCCGACGATTTCTCCAAGGGTTCTAATCTTCCCCGGGTTGTCATTCCGAGAACAGGACCTGGCTGTTTCCCTATATGTTTCGAGTGACGCTGTTTCGAGTGACGCTAGAATCTCGGCCAGTGGAAGGGGCGATTGGTACACTTTGAATGGTCGACCGTTGCCACTGCCATCTTGGCTTCAATCTATAATTTGGAGCGTGGGTTCGCTATATAGACACACCAGGGTCGAATAAGACAGAGACAGTATGACAAGCATATGCTTGCGAACATGGGCGGTAGGTGCCTCGAAACCGGACGGGATTCTCTATACTACCAGTTCAACGCCCCAACCGAGGGATCAAATTGGCGTGTTCGTCATAACAGCCGCAATTGAGATTCATGTCCAAACTTCTGAACCGTCGAAACAGGCCCGCGTTACTCGAGGTGTAGATGATCAGGAACCCTCTTTGCATTTTTCTGGAAAGCTTGAAGCTACAGACCTGTTTAATGCTGGGACGGTGCTCTGGTGGCTTGAGCGATTGAGAGGTACACTTCTATGGTGTAGCCAATCGGCCCCAAAATCCCCCAAGCCTCGAGACCAGTTCTTGTAAGGGCGATCGATCAGATCTCTGGTGTAAATGTGGTCCATTTCTGGGAGGTTGAGTCGGCGGGAGGTAGGATGAATGGACGATGTTTCCAGGGTCGAGCCGGAATGATATCAAACTTAGCACGAGATCTTGGACCATACCGACTGACCCCAGTCTGATGCGTGGCTGCGATGCCTGCAGCTGTGGCCTGCTCGTCTGGACTGCGCCGAACAAGTCGAGCTCGACCACCTTGGGCCTTCGTAAAGCTGTCGGCAAGATTCTGGGCCAAGGTCAGCGTGCGGCAGTCGACAATGACACATGCCTGTGTTTGAGAGCAAGGTCGACGTGGCGACAGATACAGGGCAGAGGAGAATGTGAATCATGCCACTGTTGTTGTGTGGGATGTTGTGCAATACGGAAGAGCTCCTGAGAGAATGTCTGCTATCAAGAACACTACACAATAAGACAGGGTCATTCGAACCCATCTCAGAATGGCAGATACGGAGGAACTCAGCCAAAACCAAAGCAAAGCAAAATGAATGTTCTTCATCTGGTTCCTCGACGCTTTACCCTCAAGGAGGACGGTGGATGTGGGACGGCTTGAGGTAGCGGTAGGGATAAAGGGCATTGGGCTTTCCAAATGCAGAGACGTGAGCCAGGAGGCTGGCAGGCCCATCAATACCTAAGGTGCCACTCCAATGGGGGCTCCGGGTCTTCAGCTTCTTGGCCAAGCAACGGCAAATATATGGACAAGTATGCGGGAAGGTAGCCCAGGGCAGAGAACGTCGAAAACTGGGCGTCTGAGAGAGAAGGCAAGCTCGCCCAATAAGACGTGGGCGCAGACAACGGGTACAGTATTGGGAAGGTGAAGAGGTGAGGGTAGTGAGTCGGGCTGGAGGCAGAGAACTTGATGGAGGAATAGAAAAGTTGGAGAGAATACAGGTCGACGTAGACGGAGGGCACGAGGGTTCTTACGCCGACGCAGCAGTCGAAGATGAGACAGTCTGTGCTTGGCTACACCATCGCACGGATATGTCATGAATGGTGATGTCTGTGATGCCTAGCAAAGGAGGCCGAGTACAATGTTGAAGAGATGACCAGCGTGAGGGCTGTAACCTCGAGCCCAAGTCGTACGCAGTTGATCTGCCGTAGAGTGATTTCACGTGATATCGGCACGTGATGCAGCAAAGCCTCGCTAGCAAGGCTGGGCGTCCTTGGGAAGCGAATGCTACCCACGCTGCTCTTTTTCTTGCAACCATGAGAGACAAAGATGTAGCCAACGCGTGTCTCTCCCAGGACTGCCGGCGGTATCGAGTCAATCGGCCCAAAACTCTCCCTCATGGCTGGCTGAATACCTCTACGAGCCCGAAACACCCGTGAGGTGCGTGCTGGTCGTCCGGTCACCACTCGCGATGGTGTTGCCTTTCGAGCCCGGCCATGAAGGCTTCGTCAGTGAGTATTTGCCGGTAAGAAAATCCCGAAAGGAGTCTCCTTGAACCAAAAAAAGGGGGAGAGATTTTCTCCGTATCTGTGCCTCATCCTTCACAGTCCGGTCTCGATAGCATGCGGAGTTGCCTTGCAGCGGCAGAATGTCACTCACAGCACCCTACCTCTCCTTCTTATCGCCAAGTCCCCCCAAGGCCGGATTCTCCCCATCGATGCTCCTTCGTCGAGACGAACAGGTGTTCGGTTGTCAGGGCGTTTGCGAGGCTACATGCGCTTTTGGATATACCTGCAAAGACTGGCGAAATCTTTTCGTCCCACGTCTGAGGCGGGGATGCAAAGCGGCCGAGGAGGAAAACAGAAGCACGCGGAGAAAAAAGGAGGAGCTCTGGATAAAGGCAGGAGGTCAAGAATGGACCGTCTGCTGACGCCGTTGATGGTCGGAGGACAAGGACACACACTCTCGAGGTGTTACTGCGGAGACGTCCGTCAGGAAAGGTGCTGCCTCATGGTGCATGGCGATGCTGGAGTGTCCACGAGAGTGCATAGCAGAAATACAGGGAGTGTGTCTCGATATTCACGCGAGCTGTACTGCTACTATACACGACTTCTCACTCAGCTCAACTCTCCCATGACTTCAAGTTTTGCTGATCGACAATGACGTCTGCAGCTGCACCTGGCTAGGATCGCATACAAGTGCAGGAACATGCTCCCTATTTCTGGAACCCCGTAAGCGAGTGTCGCCATCCTCATCCCTTCGAATGTCCTCTCTGTCCGTAATACGGACTCTCCTCACTGTGCAAACGTCAAGGGTGTCCTTTCTTGCGACCCCATACAACCTTCCCGCAACCAGCGAATGCTGACCATTTTACAAGCTCCTCCTTGAACGGCCTCCACAGTGTCGACATGTCCTTGGTATCCTGGTATCTCAACAGCCAACACAATCCTTTGAGAGACGAGTTGGGAAGGACAAGGTTTTGATAGATTTTCTTTCCATAGACTTCTTCGCTGGCAGAACTCTGAGATTGAGTTGTCCTGAGATATTACAGCAAAGAGGAAGGGGAGGTTTCACGCTTTTTCCTTCTCCTTGAAGCTCTGACCGTGACTGGGGTGGTTGACGGAACACGAGATCTCTCACTCAGCCAAAAGGCACCCAGATTCAGCCTTGCCGTCAATCGCCCTTGTCAAACCTTCGGAGGTTTTGTCCAATTGGGCAGTTAGAACAGTGAACCCGGCACCCTGGACCAGTTGAGAGTTGACAATGCCATGCTTCCAAACGGGGGCGAGTCCAACGGAAACCCTTGCGGTCTCAGAGGAGTTAGTGAGAAGTCTACCTAGATGTCAACGTGGAAGCGAGATAGTATCTGAATATTAGTACAGCACTCCGCAGGCAAAAGGAAATTTTCGGATGCTTCGACCTGCGGCACAGGACCTTCAGGAGCACCGGAAAAGATCGATCCCTGTGGACTTACGAAGGTATGAGGCCTTTCATACAGCCGCCAACGACACCTGCGAGGCTGTCATTAGCAGCGAAACTTTTCTCCTCCCCGAAGCAATCCTATGACTTCAGAACTGGCCAGTATTATGTTTGCATGGAAACCCGCAGAGTAGAGTGCCTCTTTTCTAGTGTTTTGCGTCCATTGTCCTCTCTTTCTTAGGTTCGTCCACTGAGGCTTATGCTAATACCTCGACCCGATGCCTCATCCGTCGTTTGGATGCCTCGTGGGCCTCCCAACTGGGCGTAGGTGGATGGATGGTGGAGAGGGGTCACTCGACATATCAGTGACCTGGTACTGACATGACGATTGCTCTGCCTTTGGAATACCATATTGGCTTCGCCCGTTCGCCAAATCAACGAGGCACTCTCGACATACTCGGGTCCTGTCTCTTCACCGTCTTTATCCGAACCTGGATCGTAGTGCACCCCAACATTCCCCGACCGAGATATCCATGGTGGCACAGAGTTGTCGACATAGCCAGTGGATTCGCATCCGGGGCGTTGATGCTGGCGTTGATCCTCGCTGTTGCGGCCAGGGGAATGGTTGGATGCCAGAGAGTCAGCCAAGGCGCTGCTAGACTCTGAAGCTAAAGCGACCAGAGAGCGCAAATCAAGGCCTGGGTATCAAAGAAAGGGAATTGTGACGGTATTTTAGGTGTTGAAGGGTGGGATGCAGGTCCACTATTGCCCAGCGACCCTTCCTCCTGATATCAAGCAGACTCCTGTCAGCAGAGGCGACCAGCCAGAACAGATGCTAGAAGGCTATCTCGCCGCATTGGATCTCGAGGAGCACCTATTACTGGACGCAATCAGCGAATCAGAAATGAGAGACAAAGGCAAGGCATACAACTTGGTGAAAGGACTGCTGGCATTTCAGGTCCTTCGGCTTGCGACACAGTGCACCGCCCGTACAGCAGAAGACCTGCCCATCACACCCTTGGAGATAAGTCCTGTCGCACATGTGCTTTTCATGCTGCTCTCCATGTTCTTTTGTTGGAGGAAGACATACAATGTCGAAAAGCCGGCGATGGTAGATGCGAGCTTGTTCTCAGATCAAGGGCTGGATTTGGTTACCAAGTATCTTGACCCAAGGGCGGAGCCCCTGGTTACAAGCCCACCCATGACCAATCGTTCGGAGAGGCAAAAGAGTATTCGAAGGCTATTGGGCAGGCAATATACGCACCTACTCCAGTCGGAGGTGTCGCGGTTGGGTTTTCTTCGTCGTCAGAGGTCTCTATGGCTCAGCATGGAACCCTTATTTTCCCGAAGCCAACAGAGCAGTTTCTCCGGTGGTTGAGTTCATTGGCGGTTGCCACGATCATCCCTTTTTTTGGCTTGTCAGCTTTATGTACTGGCACCTTTACCGAGTGCTCATAGAGGCGACAGGGAGAAGGCTGAAGATCGAGAGAGTGACACAAATCTTGCGCTGGTATGAGGCAAGTCCGGAACTCTTGTACTCCCAGCGGTCCTCGCTTGTGTGGTGATGGGTCCTGAGAGCTTGTGCTTTTTTGTATGCCATTGCTCGGCTGAGTCTTATTTTTTTGATCTTCATGGGCTTGATGTCGCTGCCGGAAAGGTGTTCCCGTACTGTGGATTGGCTGATACTCATTCCCCATGTTCTGTGAGAGTGTAGGAAGCACCGAATGAGAGATCTCGACGCAATACCGAGCTCGATACGAGAGGCAAAATCGACCGTGGCTTCCTACGGAGGACTTGTCAACAACGGAGGGTGTCCGGTCCTTTCCATCCCACTTCCCTGAAACGCAAGGGCTGTCATACCCTTCCTGATGGTATATCGGTGTTGTGCAAGGCCACTGACGGATGTGATCGCCCGTCCGCCATTGTGAGCGAGGTCATCATGACTGGCATCACCCTAGTCCCGGCAATGGGGTGAGCTGTGTGTCGATTTATCTCCTCTCAGTGGACTTGCCCTCTGGTTTTGTGCCTCCATCTCTTTTTGGGTGTGGTCTTCCAGCCCTCATCATGTCGAGTCAAGAGGCAGGTTGATCGTAGAGGTCACGACACCACTGAGAGGAAAGCTCCATCGTTGTGAGGCAATCCATCTAGCATCCGTGACAAGGATGCGAGAGCAGGGCTGGATTGGGCACAATTGAGAGGTAGAAGGTCACCGCTGCAAAGAACACGTATACAGCTGCTGTCGGATGTAAGGGAACATTACCACTTACACACATTGATGCCAACTCCCTCGTATGTTGCCGCCAAAGAGAGATGTCTTTTCCAGATTGGAGCAGGCCTGGGCAGACACATTACTCTTATCATGCCCATGTCCACCCTCTGGAAATCTTGTATCACCAGTATGGCCGGTCGCATTGAGCCAAAGAAACAGCTTCTCCATGATGAGAGATAACCTCATGCGGTCTTGACGAGCCATGTACATGAAGCTATTCTGCGTCTTTCGGCCCTGAGGTATATGAAACCCCGGCAGTTGTGTTGCAGTCTCCGTCTGTAGTCCGCTTCACAAGGTGGAATCCGAAATGTCTGTGTTCGCGTCCGCTCAATCTCTTAACCATGCATTGTTGAGTATTCCATAGCCCTGACTGCAACATTCTTTCTGTTACTTGGGGGCATGAGACTCGGATGTACTCGACTCGAAGGAGGAGTCAGTGCATTGCTCGGAAAACAAGCAGTGGGGTTGGTTGATGCGACGAGGGGACGTCGGTGCTGGGATCGACGGAGGCGACGTTTCGAACTGGCCATTGCTGGCAAGCTATCAGGCGGCACACAATCAAGAATTGGGAATACGAGGTCTCCGCAAAGCTAAAGAGGGACTGTCGAAAGGCTTGAGAGGGGATGCATTCCTTGCCTGCGCCTTGTCGTTGGTGACTGCGGCGTGTTCGCTCTGCCCAATTGGCTCCATGGAAACTCAGCTAGCTGTATCAAGACTAACTCCCAGTTTAGTGCTTGAACTGCCGCCTCTAATTCTCCGCTTAACTCGCTCAAGCTTCCGTTTGAGGTTCTTCTCTCAAGCGCTCCCTTCATCTGTACATTTGTACTCGGTATACTCCGTATATGGCTGTCTACTACCTTGCCCTGTACCTTGCCGGCCATGCAGTATTGTCTGCGAGGCTGCCACTGGTAGCAGTGTCTCATCACCTGGGAGTCCCCTTTGCTGTGATCACAATTTGTCGAAATATGTCTTGTGCTACCCTCTCGCTCTCGAATCTTATACCCACGTTCTTTGGTGTATCTGCCATCAGTCCGCGGAGAGATTCTTCTATTCCTGTATCTGAAACTTCAAACCTTACCAGCGAGAACGCGAAAATGGCCCTGGAGTTAGCCTTTGCAAGAAGACGCCGCTGAATTTCACGGACATGTTCGTTGCTGAGAGACATTCCCAAATCGCTCTTGGCGGCAGTCCCTGATATGGGAAGTTTACAAATGCGCTTCCGTTCGATGGTAAAGATGCCTGAGCGGATGAGTCCAGGCAAGCAACCACGAGGCAAATTGATTGCGCATCCACATTTCGATACCGGCCCCCTTCCACGTGGGAAAATCCGCGAGCCATTGCCTATCAACACTGGTGGAATCTGGGCTCCTCGCCAGGATATCTAACTGATATCAAGTCACGAGAGGAGATTGCGGTGCAGAACAGCTCCTTTCTCACGTCAATTGCCGGGAACGGTAAGTATGTCCCATAGATAAGCCGCGATAATGACCTCGATGCGCAATATAGCCTTACCAATTGCAGTATAATTGCCCAGACTTGGCAGGAGGCCGAGACCAGCTGGAATGCAACCATGTGGACGATCACCATAGCGCGTCGCGGTCTCAGTATTGTTCTATCCAAACTTCTCCGGATCGGACGTCACTAGGCTGGAACAGCAAAACGGGGATGCCGTGGACTGAGTTTGCAGAGCCACGAAGAGGAGCTTCAGATGGCCTCCACAGAGCCTAGCCTTTCCTGTTCATTGCACGTTTCCGTCGCCTCGCGGTGGCCAGGGGACTAGAATCCCACAGGGTGAAGATCCTGGTCACATCGTGGAGATGCCCGCAACTGCCACTGCTCGGTTTGCAACGGCGATTCGGCAGTCAACATGAACGACTATACCGTCTGTGGTTCTTATCTATGGTCGCATATATAAGGTACCTCGCAGGTCCCGGTCCGAAATCGACCCCCATCAGCACATACCCAACCTGACCGCGATGGACACCAAGACGGACAGCAAGCAGATCCGTGAGGGTGAGGCGGTCGTCGTCTCCGAAGCGCCGCAAGAGGGCGACCTTTATGAGCGGCGACTATCTGTTACAGAATGGGCGAAATACCGTCAGACAAAGCGAGGTCTCACGCCTCGGTGAGTGTGTCCCCAGGCTTGTTCCAACGGTGCCAGGGACGGTCCAGTGCTGACTGTACGATAGTCATGTTCAATTGATGGCGATCGGTGGGAGTATAGGTACCGCGCTTTTCGTGGGTATCGGTGGCAGTCTGAAAAACGCTGGCCCACTTTCACTTGTATTGGGCTACCTCTTCTGGGGCCTCCTCTTCATCTGGCCATCCTACCTACTCGTCGCCGAGATGCTTGCATGGCTACCTGTCCGAGGCACCATTTTCGAGCTTGCTGGTCGATACGTGGACCCTGCCCTAGGATTCGCCATGGGCTGGACCTACTTCTTCGCCGGGGCAATGCTTGTGTGCACTGAGTACGCCTCTGTCGCCACAGTCATGACATACTGGAACACCAGCGTCAATGCCGCGGTGTGGGTGACCATGGCGCTGGTGGTCTGCGTCTTCTTCAATCTCGTGGCTGTCAGGTACGTTCTTCTGCGCGCCGGCTTTGGCTGCCCTGCAGGCTCTAATTCTGGCATGACAGATGGTACGGCGAATCGGAATTCATCATGGCCTCCACCAAAATCCTCCTTCTGATGGGGTTGATCCTCCTTACGTTCATCACCATGGTCGGCGGGAATCCGAAACATGATGCCTACGGCTTCCGCTACTGGAAACACGGGTTGGCCATGCACCCATACTACACCACCGGTGCCACGGGACGCTTTCTCGGCTTCTGGAGTGTTGTTCGATATGCCGCGTTCACCATCTCCGGCCCGGACTTGATCTCTCTCGCAGCAGGCGAGATCCAAAATCCGCGGAGGACCATCCCCCGTGCCGCTCGGCTCGTCTTCTACCGGCTGGTGGGCTTCTACGTGGTGGGTGTCCTCTGCGTCGGGATCATCTGCTCGTCCCGAGATGCTCGATTGATCAGCGCCATCAACGACGGGAAAGCCGGTTCGGCCGCCTCGCCATGGGTGCTGGGGATCCAGAACTTGGGCATCACGGGCCTGCCCAGCTTCATCAACGCCCTCATTCTTCTGTCCGGCCTCTCGTGCGGCAACGCTTATCTTTACTCCACCAGCCGGACGCTCTACTCGCTTGCCCGGGACGGCCAGGCGCCCAAGTTCTTGATGAAGTGCACCAAATCGGGGATCCCGACTTACTGTGTCCTCGTGGTGACGGTCATCTCGTTGATCACCTACCTGGTCGCCTCCAACGCGGCGGTGACGGTCTTCTACTGGTTCATCTGGCTGTGCACGATTGCGTTTGTCCTCACCTACACATGCATGCTGTGGACCTACCTGGGCTGGTACCGCGCGCTCAAGGCCCAAGGAGTCGACCGCAACACGCTTCCGTACAAGGCGCCCTTCGCCCCGTACACGGCGTACATGGCCATCGTCGTCGGCTGCGTCGTCATGCTGTTCATCGGCTTCGACTGCTTCGTGCCGTGGAGCACGCAGGGTTTTATCACCAACTACTTTGGCCTCGCCTACGGCATCTTCATGTACTTCTTCTGGAAGGTGATCAAGCGCACCAAGTTCGTGGACCCCAAGACGTGCGACATCTGGAGCGGTAAGGCGGAGATCGACGAGGAGTGCAAGATCTGGGAGGAGGGCGGATTCGAGGAGGTCGAGAAGGCCCGGCTGGCGCAGATGAACATCTTCCGGAGGACCTGGGAGAAGATTTGGTGAGAGGGGAGCGAGCCGCGGGCCGATTTTCCTACCAGCCTTCCTTTTTCGTTCGAGAAATGCAAAAATGTATTACCTCGTATGTGGCGAGTCAATCTGCTGCCGTAAGGGTGGTCAACCCTTTCAACTCATACGTGGACATCACATTGTTACTGCTCTTAAATTCTTTTGTCATTAATCGCATACACTACGGCAAATCCTCCGCTGGACAGGTATTCTCGTCTCTCGTATAGGGACGCGGAGTCTGTTTGCAAGGTGTAGCATGTTTGGTTCGATGGTTGTTCGAGGGAGATACACCGAGCCCTGGCGTTGATCACAGTAGCGAGAAAGCAACGTTGAAACCGGGCCAAACGGGTCCTAGAAAGCGGGCAAAAGAGCCAATCGCCGAGTCCAGAATACAGCTTATTCATGTCCTTCACTATTAATAACAAAGGCAACCCAATGAGGGGGAAGGTGCGGCGAGATGGATATTAATCCGTTATACCGAGCAAGTCGACACCTCTGCGATGTTCAATCCGACACCCAGGTATCTGAGAGACTGGGTGAGAGCAACACAAACTCTGCGGCTGGAAAGATGTGGTGCAAGTAACTTCATGACTGCTAAGGGGTTCTTGGGGACTTGGTACGCCTATTAGTGAGCTTTTCTCCATCCTCTTCACCTGGGATACAAAGACACGGAATTTGATGGATAATGATCGACCAGCGGATTATTTCCCTCGACTGGGACTGCTTTAGAATGGATGAATGCCCACCCTCCAGCATTGCATTTCCACGACCTCGAGCTCAACGGGTTCGTCCAACCACCCCCCTTGCTCGGCTGTGGAACCACGTGTGACCGAAGCTGTTGCGATTGTATCCAACGACATCTCCCACTTCCCACAACCAGCAAGGACAATGCTTGAACACAACTCTATCAGGCACATGGGTGCGGTGTCCGACCAAACATGGTTGGGTCCACCGTGAATCCTCCATACCGACGGGGGGCAGGACACCTTCTTCCGTGCCAGAGAGGCGAGAAAGGCCAAACGCCTTCCAAACACCCAACCGACCCAAGTTCGATCAGTCCATGCGCAACATGACATCTCGCTCCTTGTCCAACTCGTCTGCCGTGGCGACAAGGTGGTCTGGAGCACGATCGAAGCCAGTGCCGAAACGCGCGCCGAAGTCAGCGTCCACAGCACCGTGCCCAGCCGCCGGCAGTACACTGAGCGGGATGTCGAGCCCTAGCTCTATCCCCTGTGCCGTACCCCCTTGGTGGTGCCGTGCGGCCTGAAATCCAACGTCAAAATCGCGACCGCCGACAAAGCCATACTGCACGGCCCCTCCGTCGTCGCCGATGTTGTCCTGCGTTGCCGCTCCCGCTTGCGCCTTCCAGTATTCCAGCTCCATACACAATCCTTTCTCGCGACGTGCCCATTCCAATCCACAGCTCCAATACATTCGCCTCTCTTCTTCGGATTGCGCAAGCTTGCGTTCCAACACGTCCACTTCATGGCGCAGATCGCTGTTGTCCTTTGCGGATTGGATGAGGTCGGCACGTAAGTCTCCGAGTTGCTCTGCTGAGATGAGCGTGAGCTTGCCAGGTTGTTGCGTACGCCCTCGCTTCGGGGGTCCGTGTGCGCTTTTAGCTCTCGCTGGTCTCTGTGCATGCTCAGCAGTACGGCCATCAGTGGTGGCGGCTGCTTCGTCCTTGTTATTGACGTGGCCGCTGGCGGTGGCTGTGCTTTCTTTGTTGGGTTTTTGGGCGTTGGTTGAGGAGGGCGCAGATGCAGGCGCAGGGGCAAGTGGAGCTGTGACCGACTGAACCGACCGCGGTGACTCTGTCTGCCGTTGGGTTTTGCGTTTGCGCGCCCCTGCTTTCTTCTGAGGAAGATTGGACATGACGACGGGCACGCCAAACTTGTCCCGCGCGACAGGTGTCAAGCCGGTGCGCTTGCGGGGGAGTTCCAGGCCTATGTCTGTTTCATGGAGGATTTGTCCCAGTCGCAGAGGTTGGATCAGTGCAGTCCTATCAAGTGATCCTCCAGCCGGGATCTGTTGCTGCTGAGGTTGTATATCATTGTTAGCCTTGAGCGTGTCAAGCGGAGGGACAGATGTAGCATGGTCCACTGCGGCGTGTCCGCGCCCAATTCTCAACCAACGCCGCTGAACAGCGTGGTGTCGCAAAGCGCAGGCAGGGATGGAATGCAGAATGGCTTACCTCGTCCTGATTGATAGTCGCGCCTCCTGCCATGTTTGAAGAATTCATGATGATAAGAGCCTGAAAGATGAAATGGAAGATGGAAGACAGAAACGGAGATGACGGCGTTTGTCTGCTTGAGAAGTGACTCTGTTGCGGGACCGGCAGGAAGGCGGCGGTGGGCTCTGACATGTGGGCGACAAGGTGCGGCAATGTGATGGTGCCAGTGACAATCCTTTCAAGTTCTCTCTCTTCCTATGTTGACTTCATTAACATTCATTACCTATCTTACATCTGAAGGGCCAAAGCAAAAAGGTTTCCTATTTCCATACATGTCGAAAGCATATACTGAAACAAGGCTGCGTATATCTGTTGCCCAGAAAGGATTTGAAATGGAAGAATGCACAATATCAGCACACTGGCCGCCCAAAGATGCACAAGTCTGGCTCATATCACAGTCGTAAGAAATGTTCATCGTCCATGTATGTGGTCGTGGCGCCCCTCATCCTTTTGCGTTATACTTGTCATTAAATGCGTTCACGGCTGGTAACGATGATTGTCAGCATTATCTCTGCCTCCTTTCCGGCGTCAAAAATGTCCACTTACCAATGGCAATTTGTTTGTACAGCCAATTCCTGCTCCCCTCATCCGCCACGGGAATGAAGGGGCCGTTTGCTCCTCCTTTCAAACCAATACTCATCCCCGTCCTCTCCTTGCTGATGGTCTGCACGTCCGTCAGTTTGATGTCCCACTCCATGCGCAGCTTTTTGGTTCGGATCATCAAGATGCGGTCGTAGGTGATCATGACCATCATGTCGCCGCCCTCGAGCTCTAAGTGGGCAATGTATTCTTCGTTGAAGTACCGGCCATCGTCGCAAGTCTTGAGCCAGAATTGTCCCAGGGCCTCGCGTTGTGAGTAGGGCCGTACGATTCCATCCATCCCGATAAACCGAGTCAGGCGAACGCGGTCGAGACCCTCGGAATCAAAGACCGTCGTCGTGTTGCGGACCCCTTCGGCCACGTTGGAGGCGAGATCGAAGGCGCCGATGGCAGGCTTGGTGGCCAGACCAAGAAAGCCCTTTCCGACACCTTTGACGAAACCCAAAGCACCTTCCTTCTCTGCTCCTTCCAGAGGGTGGCGAGCGAGGCCCCCAATACCGCTGGCCATACTAGCGGCAAAGGCGTTGCCTCCAGCAGTGACGCCGTATAGGGCATGTTTGGGTCGATTCCGGCTCTTTGACATGCGCCTCTGATCTTGGAACTCTTTGTCCATGGTGGCGGCCGCAAGGCCCTTGGAAATGGAACCACTGAACTTGGCCATACTGTCACTGAAGCCGAACACGGACTTCTTGACGAAACTGCTAGCTCCTTTGGCGATGCCAATGCCGAGCTCTTGTGGCCTGTCGGTCATCACAAGGCCTTGGTAAGGCTCGTAGAAGATGTCGGCAACACCAGAGCTGATGTTGTTGAACAATCCTACAGGGTTGCCGAGGAAGTCGGCCGATCCGAGAATGATATGGACCTGGCGGAGCACTTCTTGGGTGTAGTGGTTCTGGACGTTGGCGATCAACGCTGGAACGGATATCCTGGCGTTTTCGAGCATCAACGCATTGAGCCGGATGGGCGCGTCGTTGACGTTCCCTATTGACATCGTCATGACATTGACGAAAAACATCAGCGGACTATTGACAAAGGTATCCTCGGCGTTGATGCGCTCCGTTCTGACGAAGGAGAGATCAAGCTGGATGGGTTGCAGGTGCAGCAGCTCAAAGTAGACGTCCTGCCCCTGTTCTTCTCGCGTCGGCTCAGGTACGTCGAGACTCTCGTCGCACAGTTTCCCTTCCTTTTCTTCCGACCACGACGCCCCGGGCACTTTCACGAAGTCAAGCATTGCAAAGATGAAGTCTTCGTCAAGTTCGACCGTGATCTGCTGCAGGAGCAAGGTGGCGTATTTGATGTAGAGCACACCATATGAATCGTCCTTGACCCTCGTAACCATCGTATGGAATATGGGATGGGCCTCCATTTCCTTGCCTGTTTTGGGCACCACGCTCGGGTACAACAAGATCGGGAAGATGCCGCCATACAGTTGATTGTCGATCTGGATCCATTTGACCGTGAAGTTCAATGTTTGGTAGAGTTTGGAATCTCCATACTTGAGCTCCATCTCCCGGAAGGTGAGATACATGAGTTCCTTCATCTTGCTGTTGACAAGGGAGATTCCAATCCCAGCCAATCGCAGCTCGGCCTTGAAGTTGACGTCCGATTCGATCTGCTTGACTTCAAATCCTTGGTTGAGGCTGGTCTGTGACGTGGTCGTCATACCCGTCTTCTGTCGGTATAGCGACCGGGACGGTTTGTAGTTGGACAATACCAGAGTCTGTGTTGGTCCGTCGGCAACAATGTTGATGTCGATCACTTTCATGAGTCCGCCTCGGTCATCCGGTGGCAGCTTAATCGGGATCAAGTTGCCTATTTCCGCCAATTTGACATACCTCTCCCTTCCCCTAGCTGTAAGGACAAGCTCTTTGTTCTTTGAAGCGGGATAGTCCCAAGCATAAGGCATAATACTTCGTGGAGGGAGCCTGTACCGAATCGGCTTCCAGCCGCTCCCTTTGTCTTCTTCTTCGTCTTCACCAAGGTTGGGGTTCGCCTGGAAGAACAAGAATTCGGTGTCACTCTCGTTTCTCATCGAGAACGGCCAATGTTTCGTCTCAATGCTGAAGTGTAAGAACAAGGTAGCGTCCTCGAGGATGATCTCCACGCGGACGAGCCTTTGTCTTTGGCCATGTTTGGCGAGCTTGACATGGGTCATGCCGACGTTTGCCATATTGAACGGGGATGACCATTGGTTGTTGACTCCCGGAAAGCACAGGCAGAGCTGCTTCTCGGGCGACTGTCGCATGAAGTACATAGGCAAGAGGTCATTGTTCTTCATCTTCCACACTTCTGACGAACCAGGTTCTCGGAGCTCAATGTCCTCGCCGATTTTGTTCTTGAGGACAAAGCGCGGCGCCATGGTGACAACTTTCGTCAAGCTGTATTTGCCCTCGCCTTCTGCCACAGATACCCCAACATGCATCTCAGATTTGCCCGACGCGGCAGGCAAGACGACCTCGTACGAACTTCCGATGGCGTCGAAACTTTGTGGCTTGCTCCACATTGAATCGCCGATCTTGAGAAGAGAGCGATTCTTACGGTCATCGGCACCGTACGAATACAACATTGGAAGAGCTGTCCCTTCTCCGGAGCTCGTTCGGGCTCCCTGAGGCGATGAAGCTTTCGTAGAAGACCCGAAAAATGCCTTGCTCTGAACGCTCATGTCAAGCCCAGTCTTGTTCAGAAGGACGTAGGGGCTGTACACCGATACTCTGAAGGCTCCTCCGCTGTCTTTGATATTCGTGTAGTGAAGCTTTAGTCTCAGCTGGGCACCTTTGTCGTCCTTCAACTGCACTACTTTCTCCCGGCGGAATCCTTCTTGGGTGTCGCTGTTGATGATCGCAAAGTCGCTCTGTTTGAAGGGCGCATCCTCCACCTCAACGCTCAGTAGCAGAAGGTGAGATAGCTCCACGACATGAACCGGGCTTACGCCACCCTTGCGTAGGAAGTTGGTCCAGTCCTTTTTCGTGTTCTTATCATAGATGCGATATTTGAAGTCGTACGGTAGCAGGTTCTGGATCTCGACAGGTGCCGAAACTTGGATTCTCATGTACGGATAGACCTTTGTGATCGGGTCTTTGTCGTCGTAGGACGCGTGCATCTGGAAAAAGAAAGGTGGTGATTCGTCCCTGCCTTCTGACTCGCAGGTGAGGGCCCTGGTTTGTCGTTTCAGGAGGTCTTTCCAGAACAGTCGTTCGTTCGACCAGCCATACCCAAATCCCTGGTCGGGCCGTATAACCAGTGAGTGGACAAATGCTGCTCCAACGGGAGCAGGTTTGCCTTCGCCAGGGGGAATTTTCTCTATCTTGAGGAGATGGCCTTCGTCTGGACTATAGACGCCAACCTCGATTGGTATCTGGGTCTTGTTCTCAACGAGGAGGGGTGAGCGGAACGTGATGTACTTGACATTGTCGGACCCCAGTCGCACCTCGACAAGCATACGGTGCTGGACGCCGTCCTTCCTCGGCTTGAGGTTATACAGGGTTTCTCCTTCGCGGATGACGGGGATGCGAACGACGCTGTCAAACCCACTTCCCTCAAGCCTGACACCCACGAGACCAGCATTGCCTTCAGGCGAGAGACTCTCACGCATGGAAGTTGCGTCCTCGAATCGCCAGGCGTATTCCTCGCCGTCGGTGAGTTTGGCTGCAGCTGCACTATCGCTCTTCTCATCCGCCCAAACGCTAAGATCAAATCCAGTGTAATTGCGGATCCGATACGGCGCATCTGCCACCCGCGGCTTCGACAGGATATCTTCATCTGTTGAGAGAAAGTTGAAGGACTTGGATGCAAGTGCAATTGTGGCGGACGTGACTGTCAATTCCATGTTCTTGTGCGAATATAGCTCCATAGACAGCACCTCAGGGTGGAGCTGTTTGGACATGTGGAATCCCAAGGTCCAAGGCTCGATCAAAGGCTCCCACGCGGACTTTGAGAAATTGTATACGTTGATGAAAGTATCGATCTTGGTGTCGGCTGTTAAGGAACTGGTCCAGTCGCGAACGTCAACATCAAATTTCTTCACACTCCAGTCCAACAGGGGAAGCTCGTGCATGTCTCCAATCAATATAATCCGGATACCTTCGATTTGCGCGACCATCTCTTCCCGACTCATGACCACCGACTTCGAAGACTGCTGCTGTGATACAGATTTAGTCGACTTGGAGATTGATTTTGATCTTTTAGATCTCTGTGCCGTAGTTGACTGCGCTGCTATGGATTTGCGCTTCGTCGAAGGCGCCTTGGAAGACGCTTTCACGTCTTTGAGCTTCTTTGGCTCTGTGTCTTCTTGCATCTTCGTTTGTGGGGTCGCAGATGAAGCCTTGCTGACAATCTGCATCGCCAGCAAGATGTCGCGAAGCGACAGACGGAGAACGAGAGGCTCTATTCCAATGTGAATTGACGTCAAGGAGGAATCTTTGCCTTGGCTTCGGCTATCCATGGACATCTGGATGCTGAAGTCGTCGAGTATTCGAAGTCGACTTGTTTCGAAGCGATCCATTCGGCACAAAAACATGCCGATCTTACTGACCTGCAACGTCATCGCGTTTTGTTTTGACACAAGTACTTCCTTAGTACCAAGCACAATGGCCTCAGTGTTGGATATGGTGGGATTTGCGATGAGGATGACCTGTGCATCCACGATGTTGAGCCGAAACGACACAGTCATTGATGGATGGCCCGCTGATTCGGCCTCTCGGGCGCTCTCTTCTATCTGGCCTTGCTCATCTTCGATGCTTGTATCACTGCTTTCGGTTAAATCGTCCACTTCGGCAATAGGTGACGGCACGTCGGACTGTAGAGCCGTATTTGCGAAAGCCTGAAGGGCAAAAATGTAATCCAGAGCGACAATAACCCGGGGGCTGTCAATGGTAAGCATTACAATCATGTGGCGTTCTTCTCCACCTGTAATGGACAGACTCGCCATGAATTGTTGCTGCACATCGTTGTTGATCAAAGACATTATCTTCCGGAATTTGTTTGTTTCTCTCGTGCGACTGTCGCGGACAGTGAAAGAGTGGATCACAAGCTCAGCCTCCATAGCGCCATCACTGATCATCCTCAGTTTGACATTTGTCTCGTTGATGGAAAATTTCGAGAGGCTGGCTGCTTCGAGGTTCTCAATTGGCTCGTCTTCATCTGCGAGGATCAATTCCAGGGCCACCATTGGTGCCTTGAACACCAAATTCATCTTGGTCCATGTTTCTGCACCCGTTCCAAGCTCGGGACCCTGGTAAGAGGGTTTACTTGGCGATTCGGACGTTGTCGTCTCAGGTTCGGCGGCCTTCGCGCTTTCTGTGGTGGATGATGGCAATTCCTCGGCAATGTCTTCTTCACTTTCGTCTTCGGTTGCAAAAGCTGCCGGAATGGTCTTTGACAATTCCATCAGAAACTTGAATTGAGTATGGGAAACCCTCAGATTTATCGGCGACATGGACCCATCGATTTCAAGATCCGGTCTCTCAATCCCCGCCTGGTGCTCAAGGTAACGGATTTTGAAGTCAAGATCAACTTTGTCAATCATTTCCAGCTCCTGGGACCTGCCGTCGCTGTAGTGGAATTCGCTGGTCAAGCGGATGTGCCTGATGCCGGCTGTGAGCTTGTTGATGAGAGGACCGCCCTTTTGGCCCTGGACACCGACGAATTTGTTGTTTGCATATATCTCGCCTAGATGGGCTGTGAGAAGATCACGAGGACGGTCTTCGACCATGGCTCGGGGGAAAACGACGATCGGTGTCTTTATGATGACATCGAAGTGCATCTTCTGCGCACTTTCTTGTACCTGTGTAGCTTGGTTCGCTGCTGCCTGTCTGGCCGCATTGAAGATGGCTTGCATCTTCCCAAACTTGACTCCGAACTCCATGATCTTCCGGAACGGCTCTTCCAGGAAGTTGACTTTGATGGAACCTGATCGAAGATAGATTCCTGAATCATATCCAGGGTAGTCCTTGCGGGAAGAGTCGAAGGTCTGGTATTTGAAATCTGCCAGATCATCTCCTTCAATGGCAATCAACCGGCGCAGTGGTGAGTCTTCAGGTGCACCCTGGTTGATATCGTCGACTAGCGACAGACTCCCTAATCTCGCCTTGACCTGCATTGTGCCTGCGTCCAGGAAGACTCCAACGTCACCAGAGTTCAATGACAGTGTCGCAAGACGCACACCATCGTTGTTCAAAATAAGCGCAATGCTGGTCAACTGGGCTTTGATTCTAATCTTGTCTGCCTGCGGCTTTGTCGGTTGAGGATCTTTGGCTCCCTCGTCCGGGTCGTCCGGATCTTCGTGCACCGGCTGTTGATCCCCAGGATTGGTGAATGTTGTAAGGACAAAATCCAGCAGGGTCAGAAGCGTCCTTCTCGTGACAATTATGTTGATGGTAGACACGGCGACGTCAAGATTGGTGGCGATACCCTCGTAAGTAGATTGGAATTCTGGCGATTCAGGATTGACCTTGACAAATTTGACGTTGAGCAAATCCTTTCCTTCTTCTGCGTTGAAGCCTTTAGAAGATATTATCTGCTTGAATTCGGGTAGGGGTTCCTGTTCAATGTGGTCGTCGACGCTGAGTGATCGCAGTAGCACTTCAGCCACCATATCGTAGGGCCGAAGGTAGAAGTCGAAATAGAAGCGCTCCGCCACGAGTTCCACCAACAGCTGGTCCGGCTTCTTGCCGTCCGGATCTGCCCTGTACAATGAAGCCTGCAATTTTTCGACCGTGAAGTTGATTTCAAAATTGCGCTGGTGTATGTTGGCAGGTGTCTCGGGCTTCTTCGGCCGGTCCTTTTCGGGAGAAGCATCTTCTGAATCTGAATCGTGTTCAATGATAGGCATATCTTTGGCTTCGAGCAGTTGTACGGATTTCCTCTTTGATCCTGGGTCCTCGCTGGCTTTTTGAGGCCGCGACTCAGCAGCATTGCCGTTTGCTTCCGTTGCTGGACTGTCAAATTTTGGCACCGCAACCTCTATGAGCCTCATAAGATTTTTGTATTTCTTGTCTGATATGGAGGCGTGGAGAACAGGCAGCGTGCCGGAAATGCGAACCTTTGTGATGTCTGGTGCTTTCGGTATAATGGAGTTTTCCAGGAGGAAGGCCATGTTTATGCGGTCGATGATGTGCATGTTCTGTGAGTCGTCTTCTGCTTCGAGCTGCGCCCTCGTCTCTTCGATGCCCGGTCCAATCAATACCTGTGTTGATTCGAGCTTCAAGTGGAACTTGTCATACATCAAGCCCTCGAGTTGTCTGTAATCTTCTTCGGTATATTTCTGCTTTTGCTTCCCGTGAATATCCCGCATTGTCTCCTTGTCCACGAGTTCGCTGTTGACGCTGACATGACCAGCATCAAGGATCATGCAGAGGGTGCTCTTTTCTGTGATGCTCTCAGGAATGATGAATATGGGTGCGTGGATGTCCAGATTTGCATTGATGGTTTTGTGCTCTTCCAAAGCAAACTCAAGGCCTGCGCGCGTTTGCTGACGAATCTCTTCCACCGTTGCACCTGCAGTCTCGAGCAGAGCGCCAATGGATTCCATTTGGCGTTCCGGAGGCTTGAAAAACTTGACGATCTCGACCACGAACTTGGGATTATGGATGAACTCAAGACTTTTGAGTTTCAGATCGACTTTTGTGTCGGCGCTTTCATCGAGGGGATTGTTTTCGAACACAAGGTGGAATAAGCTGTCTTCTTCCTGCTCTTCTTTCTCGCCGGTCGCATCTTCTGCCTCTGTTTCGTCGTCCAAGCTTTCATTGTCATCATGTTTCACTTCATCTTTGGGCTGATTTTCGACCCCTTTGACCTTGACGATCTGTGGGAACAGCGTGCCCTCTGTCGTACCGTCGTAGACACGAAAGCCACCTAGTGCGAGTTCAGCCAAGAAAGAGTCAGGTCGTTGAAGTGCCTTTGCCCTAAAGTTGTCGAAGACCAGTTTGAGAACCTCTCTCTCTTGACCATGAGGGTCTCGTTTCAAGGTGAAGCTTCCGGTTCTGAGACTCGATTCCACCTCGAGTTTGACACTCTCTCTGGGCAGATCGACACTCTCGGCGATTGCCTTTTTCTCGTCCCAGTCAATGGCATCGTAGAGCTCCTTGCGCTGTTGTTCAGTCATGCCGGCCTCTTCGTCGTCATCTGGAGTCTGTTCAGCCTTGGCGCCCCAGATCCAAGCTGACCATGTCTGCTTTTGCGGGGGCTGCTTGACACCGACATTCTCCTTCCGCAACTGGGTACGAGCAAGCGACCGCCAGAATCGTAGATCTTCATAGCTCAGATCATGCTCCAGCTGGGTCATTTCCTTTGTTTCTTCCTCGGTGAACTTTTGCTCCTTCTTCTTTTTCTTGAAGAGTTCAATGTATCTGCGTCGGGTGTCCCTGCGTTCCTTGAAATACTCCCAAGTCCACTTCCTGTTCCGCTCATGGATCTTGGTCAGAACGGCGTTTCCGGCGAACTTAAGCCAGGCTCGGGGGTTCTCCTTTGGGCTCTCCTTTGGCGCGTCCTTCTTGTACTCATGATGGCGGACGAAGTAGTGCATCAGGTCCACAAGCATCAGCGCATCACGGTATTGGTCGTCGTCGATGATGAATCCGAGCTCCTGGAAAAGCAGACGCGCTTTGGTCTTTGGTTTGTCTGTCCGACCCGTCTTGTCCATCTCAATCCCAGCCCGACCGCTGACGGGCTTCAGCAGATATTGTGAGTGGCCAGTATCCTCTATGCCTTCTCGGAAGCGGCGTATCAGTTCGTCCTTGTCAATTTCTTGTGCCTCAGCGCCAACATCACCGCCTTTGCCAGTGCCAAAAAGATCTGCGTCACTGTTCCAATAGAGAGCCAGCGAGTTCAAAACCGCCAATTTATGAGTGGTTCCTGAGGTGGATTGGATAAAGGTTGGCTGCCAGTCAGCATCGGTTGAGACGGCGCTCATTTCCTTGAGTGTGAGGCCCACAGCGAACGGGTGGCCAGGCGTTGCGATGGAGTCTTCATATCGGATGTGGACGTTTTTGATGCTGACCTGAAGGTTGTCGACGATGGCTGTGACAAAGCTCTGAGTGAAACTTTGACTCTTCTGCTGTTCTTCTGGGCTCATGGACTCGGTGTTGCGCTCCTTGAGCAGCTCGGCACTCTCCAGCTTTTCCAGCTTCACGGCCACCGCCCGCCTGTCCTCCTCCTCAGCGTCGTAGTCGTCTTCCTCTTTGGGCGCCGCGAGCAGAAAGACGTCTTCGATGTTGACTTTGACGGGCTTTCCTCTCAGGTTGGACCATGGTATTGACAAGGTCAATTCACCCAAGTGGCCTTCTACCACATTGATTGGCAAGTGCAGTTGATCAAGGGCTTCTCTCCTGAGCGCGAGATTGCGCAGCTTCACATCGCCCGACCAGATGCCTACGTTGAGCTGCTTGGGGTCGAAATTCTTGACGTACATGCCCAAGAATCGATTGAGCAGATTGGCAACTAGGCTTTCCAACATCTTGGGCGAGTTGGCCGTTACCCAGGCCGGGATGAACTAGGAGTCTTATCTGTACAAACGGGACATGTGGTATGGATGAGATCCTTTGTTGGTGATGATGCAGAAAGGCAGAGAAGGAACCAGGACAACAGAGTTCAGGAGTTCTCCAGGTCTTCGGGCAATTGCGAAGTTGAAAATATGGCACAGCCACTCAACTGTGGCGGGGCAGACCAAGTTGTACCAGAAGGCGAAGGGGACAATTCAATGCTAGCACCCAAAGAACGAGCTCGGACGCCGGGCTGCAGCAAAACCCAAAGTGAAGCAAAGGAGGGACTGGAATTCTGCTCTCGCGGCTCTTCTTCAGCTTGATGCAATGATTGCTGGTGGAAGAATGTGAAGAGACTGAGTCGGGGAACTTGAATGATGGATGAACTGGCTGCGCCTGGCGATTCATTACGTCAGAGGAGTGGCAAGCGCAGGCTGGAGACACGCGACGATGGCGGCACGCTGGTGGCACGGGGATCATGCCTAGGTACCTCGCAGATAGCTATCTGTGTAGATACTCGTGGGTACACTCTTTCGTGAGTCCCAAATAAACACTGCACCATCGTCACAGTACCGCTGGCTGTCACCGCTGTCACCACCTGTACCATTGGCGCCGAGAAGAAGAGGTCGACCTCATCGTCCGACTCCCGGCTCCATTCGCTCAACTGTGCGACACTTGCGCTTGAAGCCCTTTGTTTTCTCATCTTGTCACTCACTCTTTCACTTGCTACTACGGTGCAATCCCGTCGCTCATTTCAGCTCGATTTCCCTCAATTCTCCCTCACCTACCCCTCACCGCTACCGACGATGAGGCGGCGACGCCTTCAATAGCCTGCAGATATGGGGATTCGCATCACCACGTGGAATGTCAATGGTATACGAAACCCATTTGGATACCAACCATGGAGAGACAAGAGGACGTTTGAGGGCATGTTTGACATTCTCGAGGCGGACATGGTCATCTTTCAAGAAACCAAAATTCAGAGGAAAGATCTCCGCGACGACATGGTGTTGGTACCGGGCTGGGACAACTACTGGAGTCTGCCTAAGCACAAGAAAGGTTGCGGCTTACCGTTTCTGTTGCTTCGGCCACGCTGACATTCTCAGGATACTCTGGCGTGGTCATTTACACGCGCAATGCGACCTGCGCCCCCATCAGAGCCGAAGAAGGCATCACCGGCATTCTGACCCCTCCGAATTCCTCTACCAGTTTCCGAGACCTACCCGACGAGGAACAAATTGGAGGATATCCAAACGCTGAGCAGTTGTCCGAGGCAGACTATGACCCGGCCACTCTCGACTCCGAGGGAAGATGTGTCATTCTCGAATTTCCCGCCTTTGTCCTAATCGGCACCTACTGTCCGGCCGAGCGCGACGAGACGCGAACTCACTATCGCACGAGCTATCTTCGTGTCCTCGACGCACGAATACGAAACCTCGTGAAAATGGGTAAGAGAGTGGTCTGGGCGGGCGATCTCAACATATCCAGGGAGGAGATTGACACTGCTGCAGCACAAGAGAGCATGCGAAAGAACGGGATTGACCCAGTCCAGTGGATCTCCACCCCTGCACGGAAGATGTTCAACCAGCTGCTCGTCGGTGGCAAAGTCCACGGTGAGAGGGAAGAGGGGAGAGAGACACCCATCATGTGGGATATCTGTCGGGCCTTCCACGAAGGTCGCAAAGGCATGTACACCTGCTGGGAGACTAAAGTCAATGCTCGACCAGGTAATTATGGATCAAGGATCGACTATGTGGTGTGCAGCCATGACATGAAAGACTGGTTCAGTGATGCGAACATCCAGGAAGGGCTGATGGGATCTGATCACTGCCCAGTCTACGCTGTGTTGAAGGATACTGTGTTCGCTGATGGTGTCGAGCGACACACGCTAGACATAGTCAACCCGCCGGGCATGTTCGTGAATGGCGTGCGCAAACAGGAGTGGAGCAACAAATGCTTGCTGCCCATGTCGGGTAAGCTGATACAAGAATTTGACAAGCGGCAAAGCATCCGGGACATGTTCACCCGGAAGCCATCGCTCCCCAAGGCGAAGAGCAGCATCGGCGACACAGACACCAATGGTGCAGCTGTGGATGCAGCTGTGACGATGGCGGCTGTCGCGGGTGCTGATGCCCCGACTCCTTCTGAAGCGGACGATTTTAGTGCCCTTACGAAAACAGCATCGAATGTCTCTACCAACATCAAAGGCATCAGCGGGAAGAGGTCAGGAAGGGCAACTGAAGCGCCGACAGCTGCGAAACGCAGCAAGACAGCACCTCAGGCGACCTCCAACGGCATTGGTAAGGGCCAGCAGAGTCTTAGAGGTTTCTTTGCCTCCAAATCATCGACTGCTCCAGCTCCCAGAGTAGACGAACCTTTGATTGAAGCGAAAATCGAAAAAGCGCCCCAAGACCCGCCGATACCTAAAGCCGCTCCGTCGCTCGAAGACGAAGCCGCCAGTTTCTCCGCCAGGCAAACATGGGGTAAATTGTTCTCAAAGCCCGTGGCACCGAAATGCGAGCACGGCGAACCATGCAAAACCATGCAGACCAAGAAACCGGGCGCTAATTGCGGAAGATCTTTCTGGATGTGCGCGCGACCACTGGGTCCCAGCGGAAAGCAGGAGAAAGGGACTCAATGGAGGTGTAATACCTTTATCTGGGCTAGCGATTGGGACGCACATGCTGCTGAGCCGGGCTAAGTCAAGAAGCGAGTGTTATTACTACACACCTCGCGCCGCTACGATCTTTCACAAGTCCCATCTCGGCATTGACTCAATTTTGGGCGATTCCACAAGGCTTACCGTCCCCTTTCGGACCACAAAGAAATCGTTCGAAGGAGATTGATCTAAACAATGTGGTCCATAGAGAGTAGAAGATCTGGCATCCACCGGCATCGGCGGAGAGAAGCGATTCAGCAACTTGGGCAAGACCTCTCGACTCGGTGTCGAGTGCAAGAGGGGGAATAGTGCGGGCTTCCAGCAAGCGGATTGCCACATTCTGCCCATCGCGGTTCCTCTAGCGCTGGGAGGGATGAGAATGATAGATTCGACGCAAACAGGGATATTGGGCTGGTAGCAGGTGGCGGGACTTCCTCTGAGTCGACATGCTTTCGCGCCATCGAAGAGGTGAATGCCGAAGGGAGATGGCGCAAGACAGTCAGCCTTTCATGTTGTGACGAGGAGCATAGTGACTGTGTACACAATGCAATATTTCCGTCCACCCGTGACACTGCTTGAGATGCTTTGAAGTGTCGCATGCTCCCGCTTTGTGACTGTCCGAGGAGTAACAGAAGGGAGTCCTCTATCCACATCCTCGAGGAGAGAATGTTTGGTTTCCGCCTCCAAGTCAGGGCGATCTCCTGCTGTAGTCTTCTGCAGCTCGTCACTCTCTCCCGGACGAGCGACTCGATCGGGATGAACATCCTCCGGGAGATGTCGCGCGAGCGAGAAAGGGTTTCAATCCTCGTGCATTATTCAGCTCACCGCGCTCTGTGGGTTGGCCACGATGCCACGGAGAAACCCTTGTTGAATTGACACAGGAGAGCATTCGGCTCTCTGTGCATCCGACGTGACATGATGATGACGATGCTCATCCGGTCGGTATTCAGCGTCCGGGGAGGAGACGCTGCCAGAGATATATTTCCATCTCGTGTCTGATGGCCTTGTCCTTCTCTCTTTCACTTGTCTGCGGAGGTATTGACTCCCATAGAGAGTACAGCAGGGTCGTGACCCTTGAAAGATGCGGCGAATACTAACATGGGCGCGTAGGGTAGGCTAGACGAGGAGCGCATGGGCAAGTTCGTGGCATCCTCCCGCTTGTGTGTTCTTTGGCGTTGTTGCGCGTGTGTTCGGGTCAGGAGGGCAACGGGAGTTCGTAGGAGGTTCGAATGGTCAGAAGGAGCTCTCGGCGTGGCAACCTCAATCAAGGCCGATGGCTGAATGTCACTGGAGCGAGGCTAATGTGTCGCAGTTTCGAGGCTGATGTCCAACTGCCCGTCCGTCCACATGTGCTGAGTTTCTCCGACCTCGGGCAGAGCAGGCGGGCTCCACGAATCACAGGTCGACGTGTACGGAGCCCGGAGCCCTACGAGTAGCAGCGCTGCTTGGCACTCGGCTAAGTTACTCTACACACGACCCTATGCGATTACCGGGCAAGTTTGAGCATCCCGAGACAACAAGCACGGTACAGGCGACTGTATAGATCTATGCCTTGTATATGGCCTCGCCAAAACTCTTCCCAACCGCGAGGGATTCCTCACTTCCGAGTGGCTATACACGCGGAAGGCTTCGCCTGAGGAAGGCATACTCGCCCTTTGCTGTTTGCCCAAGTGGCCCAGAGCCTTGCTGGCTTGCCCTTGCGGGATAAAGAATCTCAAAATCAGGGGCGGTCAAGGAGGCCACTCAGGCAAGGAGCTAATCTTTTGTTCGGAGGGGGTGGCTTCTGGGTGCAAGATCCAAGACAAAATCACCCTCTGGCAAGGATTATCTCTGATGTTTTGCGTTCAAGTATGGCAAGTTTAAGACACGCGAAGACAGCCAGCGCCGCTGGCCTTAGCACTTCGCCCTTCCTGTTCTCCTAGACCATTGTCCGCGATCGAATAAAGCTGCACTGGCTGTTGCCACCTCGAACTCCGAACAAAGCATCGCCCGCATCGACAAGCCACAGAGGAACCTGGGCGGGATCTCCTGGGCTGGGCCCGGTCGGCTCCGTCTCTTTTTTCCCTTTTCACATGCCTCCTGTAGAGAGAGAAATTCTCACCCCCCCTTCCTCACCTAGAAGAAGGCTGATTCTGTCCGTAGCTGTGATGTAGGGGGATGTCTCTTGTGGCTGCTTGAGGACAAGATCTGCGTTCCCACGCACTGACCAAGTCAGCCAGCCTTGGTGCCTCGCTTGATTCGCCCAATGCTCACGCCGGAGGCTCCCGTGAGGCTGCTGGAGCTTGGGTGACAAATTGCAGTTCATCGCTCTGTAGCATCAAGGGCAAAGTCAAAAGGATAGAAGCAAGGGTTGACATTGGGTGGGCTTGGTTGACAGGTTGGCGGGCAGAGGGGGCGATACGGGGGGCTTATGTCAGTGACACGGTCAAATGACACTCGGCCAATGGCGGCTCAGTAGAGACGGACCGTCTACGCCCTGCGCCCTCGCGGCCACCTTCGAGCATTCACCTTGTCAACCACATCCTCGTCCAGGCCATTTGCCGCAAGGGGCCTTCCGCAAATCGAAGTGTCCACAGAGCTTGCCTACCAGTATTGAGCATGGATGCTGCCGTTACGTCCCGTTTCGCACGCCGTTTTCGACTTCTACATTCCACGGCCCAAGGCCATTGATGGTCAGTGCTGGCCCGACCGATCGACGAAATCACAGCCCTCACGAGGCTGAACCGCCACTTCCCAAGCCTCACTTTAAAAATTGGCTGGGCTCTACAGGTTCTGGCGGGCGTGGTAGGTCAAGCAAGCATGTTCCCTGTGGAGTGGAGGGGACCACCGTACAGGAAAGGACTGAATGGGCTTGATCCGGAAGCTGGCATGTCCAAGTCTCTGCGCATCGACCACACCTGACCTGAGAGACTCCTGGCAAATCGGGACGCGTCCCAGCACTTCCTTCGACTAGTTGCTCGGCGTGTCAATGCGTGGGCGGGGATATGGCCCAAACATGCGTCCACAGGGGCGCGGTGACCTCTTCTCACCCAGAGCGCTGTTTGCTCCGCACTTACACCACAACTCTCTATCACGCTCCTACTCTGCATCCGGGCTCTGTCTTTCTGTGGAAGGCCCTCCAGTCCCCATCAAGGGGCTTGCATACCTTTACAAGGCCACTACTGGATCGCGGAATGGAGGAACCTCGGGTGTGCCGAAGTGTTTGGCGGAAGTGACTTTGCAACTGACAGGACTCCACGTCAGTCACTCAGCCAATATCGTTCAAGAACTCGAGGTACACTGGCGGTGGTCCGAGCGATCTCCCCATGACCGACCAACAACTCTCCACCTAAGTGCCAGCTCCCATTTCCGGTCCAGAGATGGCCATTGCGCCCCCAGATATCCATTTCCTGCGTCAGAAGCGTTGGTTTGCCAGATTGTACTGGGAATCAGCGATCCCGAATCAGAAAGGACGCACTAATTTTACCCATAATCTCACCATTCTCAGGACCGCCTGCCATCTACAACACCTTACAGCTGTCATGCAAAGCTACCAAAAGCTATCGGCTAAGATTTCGGTATGCTACCAAGGAATGGGCGTGTGAGGCTTGAGTACTGGGAACCGCCTGGAGATAGAAAGCCCCCTGGAGCCCCGTGGACTACTTATTTCATTCCACCAGGGATAGAGTCTCCTCTCCCCCCAAGTCCTTCCTCCCGATAATCTACTTCACCAAGTCCTCTTGCCCGGAGATACTGGTGGGAGGTTCTGTCAGAGATCAGGCACCTCTAATACCTGGCTATAATCCAAGACTTTTCGGCTTCTTTCTGGCCCCAGATAGTCCGACAGCTGCCGGCAACATAGCTCCAAGGCCGTACAGATCTGCACGCTAAGCGAGAGCCAGAATGGACACTTCTTCGGGTAAGAGATCTTCCCTTGGTGCCGTTGTTACTGGAGATTGGACTGATCGTCGGTAGATCTAGTATTCGAGAAGAGGCCACTTGCCATGACTTTCGCCGGGAATCCTCTTGAGGGAAGGAACAGCCATCACCGCCAGCAGTCACCCCTCAGACCACAGTCCCTGTCGGTCCTATCTGCGGCTTTGCAATCGGAAGAGGAGAGAGATTGCCAGGAGCAACTTGATGGAAGAAGGGTCCGACTCCAGATGCTACGGCGAGAACTCAACTCGGTGCTGATGCTCGCCATTTTCACCTACAGACATTCCGGGGCAGCTCAGAAAGTTGGGTCTTTGCTTGTCCTGCTGCCCACAGAGCGAAAGGCAAGGGAGCAAGCAGAGATCTTTGCGTCCTTGCGGAGGCCAGACTATCCGCCTCTTCCTGACGAACCTGAACCCATCTGCACATTTTGAAGTTTGCCATGGCTGGGAGGGATAACGACGGCAACATGATCTGCTTTTCACGACGCTTCCACATTTGTACAACAGAAACAGTCCCGCGAGGATGGCGATCGAAGCGTTCAGCTTTCGTTGGCCACATGGAAACAAGTAGGCGAGTTGGATGAAGCCTTCTTCTGGTCCACTCCGGCTCACGGATAAAGCCAGGACTTCCTTTGTCCCCACGAAGCGGCCGCTTAGATGCTTCTCGAGGGGCGAGCCTTACCTGGCTAGGGCTATCAGCCTCTCAATGTATTTTAGCCGCGAGGTATTCGGTATTCGGTACCGAGTACATTGCAGAATACCCTAAACCTGTTTAAATATGTACGTTACCTAGATAGGTAATTGTTTGTCGTAAGCACGGTGCAAGCAAATTCCTCGTTCCCCAGGCATGTGATCCAGAGCAAGCCTCCCTACTTGCGTGCCGTGTCCTGGTATCCCGGTCAAACACGGCAAAGAGCACCCTTCCACATACCTCGGTATGCTTGCTCGCTGTCCCTGCTTCCGGCACCCCCGATAGCCACGCTGCGTCTGTCAAAAATGTGGTGCTCTCGGCGCAGTGCGAGATCCGCTGCCGCCATACCGAGACTTATGTCAGCTACATACAACCAATCAGTCACATGTTCGATTCGCCTGCACTCTCGAAGAGCAACAATGACCAGCCTCGGCTTACAGCGTGGGATCCCCCAATCTCGCAGCCCAGCGTATGTATAACGCGAGGCCTCTCCCATCGGATCATGCTTTGATTACCACCCTGAACTCGAGAGATCGCCTCGTCTGCGCTTTGCCGTGGATTTACTTGTAATGCACGCAATCTTCTTCCATTGACCCCTCGTTTGTCCTCCCTCCCGAGCACGACTTGTTACTTCGCCTTGCGTGAGCGTCTCTCTACTCGGTAGGTTGTGGGAGGGACATCCAGCGCAAGCGCATCCTCACCGACGCTGGCAGCTGCGACTTGCGAGATGCAAACCGTCCGGCGTACCACAGTGGCCAGCCTCTCCTTATTGCCAACGGAACCCTAGCGGACTGTGGCTCTGATAAAGTGGCCTGGGAGACACAACGGTGGGTCTAGAAAGACAAAGTGCCCGTAGTCGTCGGACAAGGCGGCTTCGTGACTGCCCCTTCGTCTCCGCCACGACAATGGCCTCTCTCGAATCCCAAAGAGATGTCGACGTGTTCTGTGCCTGACGAGCTTCTGGCTGTCGATCGACTCTCGCAAACACCTGCCGTGACGAGATCGTCAGGGAGCCAATTGCCATAGAGGGGGACCATCCCATGCTGTCACCGATCCTCGACGGAGTGCCTCTGACCCTTTCCACGCACGTCAATGTGGCCAGAGACATCGAAGCGCGTTGAATCCTCTGCCTTGCATTGGCTCGAATCTAGCAGAGAAAGTTCCTTTCAACTCGCCGTCGCTCAATCAGTGGCGACAGATCTGTCACAATTCTCGAGAACCCCTCTGGTCTGTCTTTGGCGAGCAACGATGGTTGTCGGGAGACCCAAGTCCCCATCTGCTGTCACCAATTGATGCCCGGTAACGGTCGGGACAAGGGTTTTCCAAGCCGGATGGATGATGAAACCCCCTCCTCGCCTTCCATGCCGCGACAGTGCTTAGCCAACTTCCTCCCCTTGCTCCGAAGGAACAACAATCATGTCCAATGCAGAGGCCATCATCCACGCCTGATATCATACAAGAGAAATTCCCTCCGCGGAAGAGCACGCTTGGACTGTTCCGTGATCTGGCTCGAGACGCTTTTCGGAAGCGTGCAGGGAACGAAGACTCGCGGCAGGGGTTTCACGCACCACCACACATTCTACTTACACGGTCAGATGCTGCCAAAATCAAATGCTCGCACCCGCGATCCCGTAGTATCTTCAGCATCTACCATCTGTATTGAGTAGTTCCAACCAGCGTAGCGCATTCTAATACTCCCATGACTATCGACCTGGATACGCTCATCCCACGGCCCTCCATAATTAAAATGTAAGCTTCCTTTTCTCATTAATAATGTTGGGCACCGGTATGCCTAGTAATTATCAGCGATTCAGGGTTTACATGATGGCGGACAGGAACGATGATCGTCAAAAGTAGCGGAGGGACTACATTGCCCTCGATTGCCGACTGTTTCGACCACAATGGATGCGCACATAGGAAAAATACCATAAGAAGAAAGAGGAAGGAGAGAAGGAGAGTGGAAGAAGAAGAGAGTTGTGGAGAGAAGAATGGCTCAAGAAGGTGCCTCCCAAGCGTAGTGTGACAGCTGACATGTGACACTGGACACGTGATTGCGCGACCAGAGCGCGCCTTGTTTCCTTCTGCGATCAGCATCCTTTCAAACACTTGCAGGACAGGATGATCCACGCTGCGGTGGGTGAGGTCTTGGATATTGCTGAAGGTGAGTGCGTTGGAGGAGAATATGACCCAGAAGCACTAACAAATATAGAGTTGCGAAGCCATTCCTGTTGCGGATGACTCCAGCGGCACCGAAGCCATGGACAAGACGTCCTCACTCCCCCTTCCCACCCCTCTCTCCTCCGAGCCTTGGAGTCGATTGTATTGACTCGCTCTTGGGATCCAATTCAATACTTTCCGTTAGAGGCACCGCAAACCGCCAGATCTCGGCATTGCCAGCACCAGCTTGGAAATGAGCCGCTCCTCTCCACAGACGAACCATATGCACCTGCAAAATTCACACAAGCAGTTGACCGCGGAGGCACACCCGGCTCTGAAATTGGCGCAGTGGCCGGTCAAGGTTGTCGTTGGGACCAGGAGCCTTGTAGACAGCGCCTGGCGAACGGGATTTCTCCCAGTGTCACGGGCTTTGGGGATTGCTTTCCCAAACTTCAGCTCTGGCGCAGTGGACTGGCGCTCTCGCGGCTGCTTTCAGCACGTGGCATCCTCGAGCCTCGCTTGTGAAATGCGGCAAGGTCTGAATGGCAGGTTGACGGAAAGTACTCTCCAATAGTAGCGGCCACTCATCACTTACATTCGCAAGCTTCCGTCCGACTTAGATGTCCCACTTGCTCGCCTTTTCATTTTGTCCGACCTTGATTCTCTGCTGGGCCGATCTTCCGCACTTCAGTGCCCTTCAGCGTAGTTAGAAATGGTTTGGATCCTTGGACAACGGGGAGAAAGCTGTGGAAGGATGACGGCCATGTACCGAGTCAACGTCTTGACCACTCACCTCCGAATGTGGCGATGCCTTCACACCTGATTTTTGACAACAAGGTACCAGTCCTGGTCGAAAAACCCATACAATGCACGTACGGGCAGCATGCTATAGCCGGCGGCCGCGTTCGGAGTATGCTTTAGTTCATCTAGGACATCGCCCTGCTCTCTATGTTCCGCGGCGATAGGCTGCCAACTAGAGGCTTGGACGGTGCCATCAGATCACTGTTTCATAAACGAGATTGACTTTACATTCCGGATTTAGGCAGCAAGTTTAAAGATATCGTGATTTCAGCGTTGCTGGATCAACAATCTAAGAATCAAATAGTAATATGCTGACTATGGCAAACCCCAGATCCAATCAAACCCGCGAATGCAATAGCAACGGCTCTACGACTCCCACTGCTCCATCCTCGTCGCCGAACCCCAGGCGTTCTTTGTGACCTTGACGAACCGTTGCCGCGGGGCAGCTGAGACTTGGTTGCCCCGACGCTCATGCAAACGGCACCCCATGGATAAGCTCGCAGATGCCGACGCCCATCGTTCCAAGCCGTAGCCACATTGAAACGTTGCCAATCCGAGATCCACGGCAAGGATACCTGCGAAGGAGTCGTGTCAGGCAGGAGTCCGGGGCACCGGGGTTCGAGACATGCGACGCGCCGAGGTTCACCGCAGCCGGTTTTCCAGAGGCAGAGTACGCGTCGTGTCTCATCGCCACCTTTTCCACCTTCCCGCTCTGGGCTGCCCACGCTCTGGGCTGCCCAAAGACACTCGGCAGGAAGAACCCAAGACGGGTGCGAATCAGCCTGCGTCGCGGCGGCCTCTAGACACCTAGTCCTGCGACGTAGAGATTCCCGTAGAAAGAGTGGAGCAAAACTGGGTGCGAGACGTTCTTTCAGGCCGCGAGAAGAGGGGGGGGGGGTGGGGAGGATTTCAATGCAGGCGAGGGTAGTACAAACCCCCCGCCGCAACGGCCGTCGATCCCTCCCACACCCTCGAGTGGAATTCGGACTCCCGCTCGCTTCGTCAGAAATACCCGTGATATTGATCAAGTATCACGAGCCATTGTGGCGGCACCCTCGAAGTGTTGTGTAAGCGGCATCGTCACGTCCCTTCCTCGTTGTTCATATGGTTTGTCGCGGTGGTGGGCCGAGAACGGTAAACCTGCCTCGAGGGGTCTATGCCAAAGCATGTATGTATGCATATAGGTATGTACGACGTCATGAAGGGCCCCTCCGTGCGATGTCCGTCGCTCAGCTTTCTCTCGGATCAGGCTTCCAGAGCCTTTTCTTGGTAAAAGGCAGAGGAGTGTGGTGGTGGTGTTGTCCTGAAACTTCAAGCCATCCTATTTCTGGCCCTTAAACCTCCTCAGAAAAGAGCTGGGATGTATGTGTCCATTATTGACGTCGTTCAAAGTAGGGCTCAAGGGACATGCTTCGAATCAACCAGTCTAGTTGAGGGAGGAATGGGGATCAGGATCTGGTCCTTCTCTCGCGATCTCTTCCTCAGCATCGCATATGCGAACTCCCGAGCGGAACCGGCCAAACGCGTTGCGGGTAATGTGTATATGCATCTATGCGCACGGCGTGCGGGAGATGGCGATATACTACGTACGGATATGGCGTGTGTCATGTTACAGTCCGGTTACAGTCACGCGTGCTCCAAGCTGGTGAACCCCGAGTGTCTCCTCCGGCGTAAATGGTGTTTGGGAGGGGGAGGAAGGGGGCCTTCCTGCAAGTCCCGGTGGCCGTGGTTTGGACAGTCAACTCATGAGCGAGCCTTTATAATCGAGGCGAGTATCGCTACAGCCCGCTACCCTGGCCGCGGAGGAACTTTCTCGGTTTGCCCAAGTGTCCAGGAGGGTGGTCTAGCCAATCGGGGCTATGAGATGCACCGTGACCAATCGGGTGTATGGATGAGCTGATGAGAATGGGAAGAAAAAGGGGGCTCCACTATAATCGCAGCCTTGCTTCTCACCGTTTCCTCGGACTACTAGACAACGAACGTACCCTTTCCTCAGTACTCAATCCCAAAACAAAGAAACAACAAAAACCATTGATTCGTGGTCTCACCATTTCCGCACCCCATCCCCCTGATTCTTTATCTTCACATGCGGTCAAAAACGAACCCCCTCTGTCTTTGTCCCAGCCATAGGATGACTGTGCGAAAGACATTAGAGGCGGGTGCCAAGTTCGACAAAGAAACACCAAGACACAATCAATGACCTTGCGGCAATGGCGCAGCCTATGCACACTATCACTGTGCCTGGGGACAAGGAATCGCCGCGAATGAAGTACCTCGATTGTGGTCTGCAGACAATAAACAAAGGAATTCCTTGCACTGACTTACTTCCTTACGGCCCATGTTTGGGCCACACCGAGAAACACGTGTGAGACGAGGCTGCAATGCCGAAAGACCTCGTTTCCAACTTCCTCTGCCCCCTGGGGCCATTTGGGCTGGATTTGCGCAAGAGGAGATGCAACGCCCGGGGCGGCGAGTATGGACCCGCCGGGGTCGGGGTGCTTTGGTGTTTGTCTCTCCCAGCGCGAGCCGCAGATGTGTCTGGGATTTGGATTGTCAGAAGGCCCTTGTGCGTGTTGAGACACGCTCTGAAGCAGCACAAAGAGCCATAGACAAGCTGGGAAGACAATTGCTCCCGCGAGTAAAGAGAAACTGCCCTGCCTCTGTTTGTGATGGCGACACATATAGAAGAGCCTGGGCAGGGCAGTACCAACTTCCTTGACACACCTCGTTCTGCAGTCCCCTTCGAGGCTTGCAATCTTCCCTTTGGCCTTTGTACCTGAGTGTTCTCGAAACCAAAAGCTTCATACATACCAACCTCTCATCCACCCCCTCGAGCCCAAAAACAGAGAATACGTCAGAGTCATTCAGTCGGCATGGCATGCTTCCATACAAAAACCCTGGAAGTCTCTGAAATATGGGCACTCAATCAAATCACGGATCCGGGATCCAAAAGCCAGAGAAAAGAAGAAAAACAAGAGCGTATGGGTCTGGATCGTTTGAAATCTGCCCAAGCAATAGCTTCTGGTATGTCCAGGATTGCCGAAAAGCAGAAGAGCGGCGGGTACCGTTATACCACCAAACCTAGGTTGTTTCAATCCCTCTTGAACAAACTTGGCTTCGTCCACGATGGCCTAACCTTCTGGAAAGGCCAGTTCAAGCCCAATGACAACTGTGTCGTTTCCAAAACAGCGACGAAAAACTTGGAGAACTCCTTGGAAGAGTTGAAGAAGCAAATTCACGCCATAGACATGCATTTCCACCTGGGGGAAAAAAAAATGGGACGTTCCCGACGTTTCGGCAATATGGCTTCTGCTTCAGTTGGAGTATCAGTCCATGGAAAACCCTCCAAGAGATCTCGGTGAGAACCCTTCGTGTCATTGGATTCAAAGAAGGAATTTTGCTGACCCAGAATCGTCTAGCTGGAATCCGTGACATGCTCAGTAAGTTTGAGCTAGGATTGCCAGAAAAAGAGGGCCGCTCGGCCACGGGCCTTCCTGCCACCATCGCCGTATACGCTGATGGCGAGAGAGTCATCTTTGGGGAGTGCAAGTCGCGATGGTATCCTTTTCGTGTGATGGACAACAACTTCAAAGATATGCGACTTGACCGACTTGGCCGACCTGGCGGACGGAGCCAAAATGAGGACCACTACAAAGAAGTGGAAGCCAAAACGCAAGGCCTAGATGCTCTCGTGGTTGCTGAGGGAGGGAATGATGCAGACATCGAGGCACTCGTTCACAGGTTGGATTCTCAGCAGGGAAAGAATGCAGACTTCATGGCACTCGTCCACAAAGGGAAGCTGCGCGCATATAGCCTCTGCTATGGCGAGGCAGAAAAGTCTTTCAAAGCATGTAATCCGTGTCGCAAATGCTTTGTCTTGTATCGTTGGGGTGACCAGCAAGACAAGAAACCCGGCCAAAAATCCAATTCGGCCCTGAACTGTGCCGAAGACGACATCCATTTGCAGGAGAAACACCTTGGAAAGTGCCGTTGCGACGAAGCGCAACAAGTTGACCCGCCAACAACTGTGTCATCCGCGTGACTGGATGGAAGGGAGACTGACCGATTCATTCGTGTATCAAAACGCCATCAGCATCACGGAGACCAGATCGGAAGGCTGTGATCACAGCTCGAGCTCAGATATCTCCGATCTGTGAACGTCGTGGGAGCGACGAGTGGATCGAAGACGACGTCTGTTCCGGAGTCTTTTGTCAAAAGTCCTGTTGGGCAGAGAAGTTGGAGGAATGTTCAAAGGATGCGCCTAGGCGACAATGTTGCCATCCCTGTTGCATTTCACTCTCATGGCGGGCCACTGTCAACTCCAACCACAAATTGACGCCTATGATTTATCCCAGCAGCTGTCCTGGAGTTGTTCTGCGCACCTGATGCATCGCTGTTCCACCGACTTGTTGAGCTCAGGATGGTAGCTCGACTCATGTGCATTTCTGAGTCTGAAGGGCCCCTATCGAACGCATATTTTGATGACCAACTTGATCCAGCACGGGCGTTCTACTCCGAACTCAAGAGAATCGTTCTGCGTGGTGACATCTCTCGCCGCTGGCCAGCGTGATGTGAATATCCCACAGATTGAGCCATGATCACTGGAAACGTCCTCGAAGTCGACGAACTTGACGGAATCCTGACACGTCCAAGATTCAATATGGTCTTTTCTCACCCAATCCGACAAAAGCGTGTGCTTGCAGCAACACCACCACCCACCTCTTTACCTGGGAGTCGGTCCGGGGCTGCTAATGAGGTGTCGTGTGTCAAGAGGGTAGTGGGAGATGAATGCGAGGGCCGAGCCTTGTTTCTAGGCAGAGGTAGATGGTATAGGAGGAAGAGGGGAGGCGAGAGAGACGAAGAGTTGTTGCGAATAGGGAGAGAAATAAAGAGGAGGGAGTCCGACGTCTGGAGAGGGAGAGAGCAGCGACTCGGCGCGGTTGCCCAGACGAGCTCTCAAATTGAAGACCTAACAGGGTAGGGTGGAAATCTGTCAATTTTTCAACATTCTTGTTACATTGACGAAAATCAGCAGCTCCTCAAGCTGACCCTGATTTGCCAAAGTCTCTGAGTGTTTGTCGTGAAGCTGAGAAACAGCCTCAACGACGAACTCCATCAAATTCTGATCTAGTCCCATATTGATCTAGTCCCATATTAACCTAATTCACAGCTTTGGTATCACGTGATATGAACTCCAATCAATGCAACCCGCTTCCTCGTCCCCAGGCCACCTTTCCTCCCAATCGCTCGACTTGTAATCCATACATTCGAATTTAGATATATACTCCGCATCTTGCTCTGTCTTCACTGTAATTATTGCCTAGCCCTAAGATGGCGAGGAACACGCTCGACCAACAGCACCGCGCTCTCGGTTTCTTTTTCTCCGCCATGTGAATAGCAATGACACTCGACTCTCGCGGAATGGAAAAAAAAGGGAAAAAAAGGAATAAGTCAATACCCGAATGAAACACTTAACGAACTCTCTCGGGCATCCTCCCCGCGCCCCTTCCTCAGATATACTCTCAAAACCATCTCATCAGCTTCACGCGGCTGCACAAGCGGATCACCGCGACCGCGATCAATATTATCGGCCTCCCCCGACGTGACCTCCCCTTGTCTTTTCTCTCGCATTTGCTTCCAACCGTCTATCAAATTACAGGACCCCTGTGGACCTAGTTGGTTGGTGGATCGCTTGGTCCTGTTTGGAGCGTCCGTGGATCGTTGGAATCTTCACCAGCCAACACACCTGACTGCAAAAGCTTATCTCGATACTTCTTCAAGCCACGTACCGTAGCCGAATACCTCTCTGGTCGTGCATCGTCCCACGAGTTCCAAATAGGATCACGGCCGTCCACGATCACTTGTGGTCTGGGGCTCTCCTTGTCTTCTGGATTGACCTTGCTGACACGTCCACCAGCATAAGAGCGGCGTTGTGCGATGCTTTGCATGTCAGAGAGTGACAGGCGCCAAACTGCAACAGGGTCTTCGGATCCAATGCGTCGCCACACACCAGAATCATCGTATGTCCTCAAATAGTATTCTCGCCCCCCATTCTCGGCTTCTACCATGTCAATATCGGGGTCGGGGTCGAAGACTATCCAAAAACTCTTGTCGGCAGGATGAAGCAGGATGTCAAATGGAATTGGCCAGAGCCATTGCCAGGGAGAGTATCCATCCATATCGTCTCGAACGCCGCTGCAGATTTGGCTGACCCTTAAGCCATAACTTAAGCTTGAGCTGTGTTCTGTGTCCTCGGGTTTCTGGAGATGTCGCGGAATAGTGATGGGTGGGTCAAACTTGATCCACCTTGCGTTCGTTATCTTATCCTCAGTTTCGTCATACTCCGTTTCATCATCCCTCGATTCAGCGAACCAGGGCCACCAGCGGTACTCTCGACCCTTGTCTCGACACTGATCGAAATAGAAATACCTGTTTCCACACTTGAACAGCGGGAATGGGATAATCGGAGTCTTATCTCTGTTGGGATCGTCATCCAAGGAGTTGTTAGAGGGGCGCTCAAAGGTGTGGTGTATGTTCAGTTCCATATCATCAACCTGCTTCGGGTCCCAGATATCAATATGCTTGATCCATTCGCAAAAATCGGTCGGAATTAATCTTGAAGCCATGAGCCGAGCATAAGACTGTTCTTCGATGAATGCGGTGCTACCTGGTTCTTTAGGATCTTGATCCCAATTCCACCTAAGCAATTCTTTTTTACGTGACCAAAAACGGCCCATCTCTTGCCATGGGCTTTCGCCTATATTGGTGTGAGCCACATTCATTCGAGTTTCCAAGCGGAGTTTTACCTGTTGATCTATCAAAGTCCCAGTGATCCATCCTCGCTCTGAATTCTAGAAACTCTCGCCGTAATTCATCCGTCAACTCCAGTTCCGGGTTTTCGCTCGATGGATTCGACATGATGTCTGTGCTATCAATGAGGTTGCTGTCGATAGGAACAATAACGTATTTTGGGTGAGAGGAGCGTCATGGAGAAGTGCTAGCGTGGAATAGGAGAAAACAAGTCAGGAACTCGGGTTAAATACCCAACCCGAAGGAGAATATCTGCAAGCGAACAGACAAGGTCGGACTGACTGTCCACTCCTTTGGAGGCAAGGATTGAAACAATGTGGAGTGAGATAGTGCGAGTGAAGAGCCAAAGTCTCTTTTTGTCTCTTATTTGGTAAGTTTCCGCATGCGTGCGCGCGGCGAGGATTCAATAGTGCATATGGACTCTGTCCAAGCGCCCGAGTGAGGGCGGCGGAGGCCGTTCTCACCAGTCCTGGTGCAAGGAAGATGCAACCGGAACGAGAGGGCGGTGAATGACCTGGCGACTGCGATGGGAAATTCAACCTAGTTCTCGAGCATAGCTGGGTGGTTGATCCCCCAATGTTAGGAATCTCACAGTGTCCAATGCAAACGAGGTCCATGTTTCTTCGATATTTACACTTCTGGCAGCCTCAAGGGCGCAGACCGAGAGACTTGAACTCGCTCCGGTGAACTTTATTATCCACCCCAAGCCGTCTCTCGGAATGGATGGGTGGGAAGTACTTGCCTTCGAAGCGTGAGTAGGGCACAGCAAGAGGGCCTCCAAATCACCCCATCGTCCAAGTTCGAGTGCCATGCCCAGTTTGACGACAGTCTCTCGCTCCCCCGTCGGTGAGAGATCGGCTAGAGTATCTCGATAACACTTGCAGACTCGTGCTTGGATAGATGGCTCTTTGTCTGACGCGGCCTAGACCACCAATTTGAATGCGGCGACAAGTCGATCGAGAGGCTACGCTTGGTCCCCTACTGGTGGGATCTAAGGCCGCGTCAGGATGCTTGGAATGCAGTGAACAAAGGATTCGACGAGGCCTGGACCCTCGATCCGGGCTGTCTGCGAACAGGAGATACAAAGGAAAACAGATAGACCTCTTCTCGCATGACTTGAGCGCGATGAGACTGCGACTACTGATCCCGCCACTCTCACCATCTCGACGCCTCTCGTTCTCTGGAACGCCTCCTGCCAGATTGCTTCTGCCCAGAAACCCGCACTCGGGAGCTGGTCGATATGTTCAAGGCAATCAGAACTGGATAGTATGGGGGTGTTGACACTTGATGCCACCAAGACAGAAGACTGGCATACTTCACATGACAATGATCACCCAGGCTCCGGCCCAATGCCCTCCAATCGCAATCTACATCGAAATTCCAGTTGGATTTGACAATGAAGGAGGAAGACAAAGCATTCCTGATGACGCAGTAACGTGGCCGGGGAAGGCGTGCGATTGGAGAACTGGTGTGGAATGGCCGTCTGGACAACTATGGAATGGCTCTGTTGTCGGGGCACCCCCGTGACCTGCGCTTCTGAGGTCGGAATTCGGGTCTGGGACATGGGTTGTGTCGACTGCTTAGCGGGACATCAGAAACACGGCTATTTATACCAGTGTTGACTCTCCCCCGGTTATTATATTGTTATTGCTCACTACCAGGTAACTTGACGGGTCGGGTCAGGGACAGGCTGTTCTTTCTTCAGGGCTGACATTTCTCAGCCAATCTCCAGATGTCAAGTTATCTGATGCTTCTCAGTGCTCCCATCTTCATTGCGACAATATCGCAAGAGCAGAGGTTACTATGTATCACGTGCTGAGCGAGGAATCTGACTTCACTGGGTCCCAAGCCAGCTGGTGTACGTTTCCGCTGCCCGTGGAAGATGTTGTCGACTCAGTGCCCGTGGCATCACATGCCCGTTTGACCGTTGACATATCTCCTTACTCTTTAGTGACTACCCCACACTTCCTCTGATTTCCCATAGGCGGCCTCTTCAACGGTCACAGCGGACACCAAGCTCGGGGTCCTCCTGGTCGTCGGATCGCTGGAACGCGGAGGCGCTTCACGAATTCTCTGAAGCTCTTCAGAGACTCGTGTGAGGCACTCTACAGTGCTGAGAGGATGCCCAGAGGGTAGGGAGCAATACATATCTTTCTTTGATTCTGGACTCTTTTCAGCCGTCCGCGGCTGTGGTCCTCTATGCCCCTTGCGACTCCACGTGGCGTTGTGCATGAGATATTTCTTAGCATATCGACCGCCTATGACATTTGGAATTGGTGTCTATCACCGAAAGGTTGCATTCCCACCGAGATCGACTCTGTCGTGAGGCAAGGCAGGGTTGCGAGGCTTTTGACGGACGCAAATTGACTCCTCTTGTGTGATAGGGTCGGGACGAGAAAGGTGCGTTATCGGCGTGGGGACGGAATCCAGAAGCGCTCAAACTCCCTGATCAGTGTCCACAGTGAGTGGTGCGGAAGGAGAAGGCCGACACGTGAGCAAGAGGGAATTCTGGACATCAGCAGCCTACGGTGGCAGAAGAAAACCACGCACCCAGATCTCAACTCGACCTTGATTTGGCCGCTGGGCATTTTGAGGAATACGGGGAACCGGTGCGGGGAATTGCCCTGGCATGCCGCTTTTGTTTGTTGCCGTGTGACGTCAACTCTAGTCGTCCAAGCAACTGCGGATTGGGATGATGTTCAGATTCCTCGATAATCTCCAGCCATGTTCCGTGTGCTTGCAACTTCCTTTGCTCAATTCCCCAGACGCCTCGTCGGACGAAGCTTGAGACGCGATGCCTCCTAGCATGCGGTTGTGACTTCACATATGCCTCTTTTGATGGTCACCCTAACGGGCAGACCAGCTTCCAGCCAATCGACTGGCGCCAAACGACCCCTCCACCCGAGATGACCATGCTTACAATGACTACGGGTAATGATGACTACGGCTAGCTGGGAAGAGATTGTCAAGAGGTGGGCGACGTTCACATGGCATCCTACAAGAATTGACACCTTGACACTGGGCGAGAGGGACCTGGGTGTTGGCTTCAGGACCGAAGAGTTGGCCGGGTGCGGCGTGATGAACCCTGTTTGCTTTGTCCAATTTCGAGATTCTCTTCTGGAAATTTGCCTGCGCAAGGACACGCGAGCGGGCCTCGTGGCCGTCATTCTCTCCGCAGCCATCTTTCGTCGCTTCCTTTGCTCACACAACTCCCTCGCGACATGTTCCGCTTCTTCCTCATTCTTGATGATGAT